TCCCCCAGGCGTTCCCCCCCCCACTTTGTAGAGTAATAATTTCGGTTAGCGAAGGGGGGGAGCACCCGCTAACACAGGGCGCCTCGCTTATAACTGCGGTCGGCACAAGCTGGCACAGGCGCCCTATTGTTTAGTCGCAATAATTTTTGTTTTGTTCGCACCAGCGCCAGGCTTCGCAGCGATTTGTGGTACGGGGAGTGTCCCCCCCGGGACACAGCAACTGATACGACATTACTAACACGTCCGCTTAGTCAAGATGAGATTTTCGTGGCATGGGCGATAACGGTCTTGACTGAACCTAAGCGGTGATAGCAGGGGGACAAAAATAAAAGAGTCTGCATGTATATGTCCGGGCAGTTCCCAGTGAATGCAGAAACGCTCCCGGGTTAGCTCTCCGGGGTTGCATCTCTCTGTACGGCTCCCGGTCGATTAACACCCAGCAGTGTCAGCAGTGCCACAAACAATGCCGCTACCAAATTACGTATCCCTCCAACACGAGCTCCACACATTCCTTCTGTACCTTCTGTATCTTCTAAACGAGCTTTGAGTACGAGGTATGTGTGGACCCTTAGTGAAACGGGCGATGCGAAATATCAGTCCGGGGAAAGTGGCCCCGAAAGCAAATGAAATTACTGGTAGCGGAATGGCAAACGAGAGGATCGACAACAGATTAAAAAGCACCATGTGAGATTCGGAGCTGCCTCGAGAGGGCACATTTCACCGGAGTAGGCCTTAAAGAGAGTGTCGTAAATGATGACGTCATTAGAGACGCCAGTCGCGGAAGATCCACAGCTTCCCCACCTCACTTCCCCCCCCCTCTCCATACCACGCATTCGCCGAACGACACGAAAATACACTGACAAACACGGAAACCTCTATCTCGCCTCTAATTACAATTCTAATTGAAAAAAAGACATTAAAGTATAGGCTGGGTAATTTGCTCACGCTAGTATAGATCTCGGATAAACTCTATTATAGTGTATTCGGTGAAGGTTTGCGATCACGCTAGTGTCGTAACCATCGCGAGGGTGTGACCACCAGAACCCATTGTCCTTTTTCCTTGGCTCACCCCACCCCACCATCCAGTTGTGAACACTGACACTATCCACTAGTTTTCATGATCGTCTTGTGATCGTCCTGTGACTACCGCAAATCCTCTAGCTTCCTATATACAAAAAAGATGAGTACTACTCTACCAAAGCTATGAGCTCATGAACAGGACATTGGTGTAGAAGTCGAGCATGGGGTTGTCGCCAGTCTTGGTCGTGGTGCTGTCAAGATTGGCCCACTGACTCAAAAATTCCCGGTGGGTCTCCACTTTGGCGGGCTTGCCACACACTTGCTGGTAAAGCCTCTGCGCAAGGGTGAAGTCGGTGCCGAACATGATGTCAAAATACCCCTGCATCACCATATAGGTGCTGACGTCGATCATCTTGTCCTGGAGCACCGTCTGCACCACGGGGCCGTTGTAGTAGCCCGGGACCGTGTTCGGCAACTGGTTGAAGTCCAGACACAACAAGTGGTGCTGGGGGAACTTGTGCTTTAAGATCTGGAAGAATTGAAGCAACCGCGTGGGGATAAACTCCCCGGGAGTCATATCATCCTTGAACGGGAACATCAGGTTCTTCAAACCTAACATGGTGGGCAGTTGCAAGAGCGGGTGGATGTGTTGCTTATCCATAAACGGCACCATCAGCTTTGCCGCCGCCAATTTACCCTTTAAAGTGTCCACTTGCTTCAACACTCCGACGTCACTCAGCTCCCGGAGCCCCAAAAACGCTTGCGACCAGTGCAGTAATTGCGGAGTGAAGAACTCGTAGAAATCGCCGTGGCCGTCGATGAGCACTTGCCCTTCGTAAGGTTCCCCCGTAGTGATATCGTAGCGAATCAAATCGTGGGCAAAATTGTCAAACACTTCGAGGGCCACGAAATATACCGGGTGCTCCACTACCGTTTTCCAGTCGAAAATCGACACGTTTTCAATTTGAAGTTTCAGCAGGTCTAACCCTTGTTGGAACAATTTGGCTTTGAGGGCATGGGCCATCTGTTTCTCGGCTAACTGCAGAGAGATTTCGATAATGCGGTATTGAGTCCGAGCGTAGATTTCCGGGGCGTTTTGCTTGATGTAATTAAGGACATTACACATCAACGTCCCGTTACCTGCCCCCATTTCGTAGATCACTAAGTCGTGGTAAGGATAGAGACCATTAGTTTGGTAGTGCCATAATAAGTAGCGAGCGAGGGCTTCCCCGTAATACGGCGAAAAGAGCTCCGTAGGCGTGTGCCATAACTGAAGCAGTCGACGTGATTGTCTCTTTTGAGCGGCAGCTTCATCTTGCTTTTGGATTTGAAGCGCTCGCTGGACAAATTTTGACGACAGTTTATCGCCGGGTTTCTGAGTAGATTGAGACTTAGCATCAAATGTCTCCGTCCACTGAGGCGGCGGTCCCTGCTGGTCATACTTAGCATAAGCGCCTTCCCACTGAGCCATGAACTCATCGATATCCTCAATATTGTTATAATCAAACGGCTTTTCGGTATGGAAAATTTCCACCTCGCGAGAGAAGTAACCGTAGTGAGGGTTATAAAGCGAATCTTCAATGAAATCTGATACAAGCATCTTGGTAGACTTTGGCCGGGTGCGGAACCGTTTGAGTTTATCCAGCGTTGTCGTAGGGTACCGCATATACTCTTCCTGAGGCAGCCGGTTGCCGAACGGGTAGTTGGTCAGGTACCGGTAAATAAACTCAATAAGGTTAAACTTATCGCTGTCACTGACCCCTTGCAACGGGTGGGGTTTGAATCCAACACCCTCAGAAGTTTCTGGCGCCAGCTGGCGTTTGGCTAGCAGTCGCGTCCGCTCATTGGTGGCGTCGACTTTGAACGCATAAGTGTCGGGTCTGATCGAGTACTCGTGGTGGAAGGCATCGTCGTCAGGTTTATGAGCTTGAGCAAGCTTGGCCCGGGCCTTGGCGGCGTTGAAGAGCCCTCGCTGGGGTAGCCGGCGCATCATCGCGGTGAGCGTGCGGGTGGTACACTATAGTATTTGATATACTATAAGATACGACTCGAAACACAATGACGATAACATCATTGATTAATGTTGATGAATAAGCAATCGTGATTAGTTTAACAGAGTAATCATCAGCTTCACTTTGATAGAATATGAGGTGAGAGGTGACAACCCATTTCGTTGAATCATTGAATGTAAATCGTGGTTCATCCCTTAAATCATTGTAGTCTATTCGATCATGTTAGTCTTTTTGATCAATAGCTTTATGTTTAAGAAACGTGGACTTACTCTGCCTGTATCTGCTTATCGTGACGCGGCGAGCCGCACCGTAGTATGGCCAAACCATACCCCGCCACCACCTCCACCACCACCAATAAAGCCATGGACAAGTTCGTGGTGGTTGACCCTTCAGGGGAAGATATCCTTAGCGATATCACTCCCGATATCACACCTGAATGCTCGGACCACGACTCGCCCGACGCCACCGATACCGAAGTGGTGGAGTCTCAGTACCACCTCGACGTTTCGGGTATCCACAAAAGCTTCACCAGTCAAATGGCACTTCCAAGAGCTTCCCAAGAATCAATTGATTCAATTGAACATGACCACGACCGTTATCGGACTTATGCTGATGACTATGTTAAGTTTATGAATGCCAGTCCCACGACCTACCATACCATTACCAATTTTGAGAACCGGTTAATTGATGCTGGTTTTTCAAGGATAAAACACAACCAGCGTATCCAAAACCTTGAACCGGGTAAATGGTACGATATCAGAGACAGCTTGCTGATTGTGGCGTTTATCATTGGTAAACAATGGACTCCAGCGAAAGGGTCACTATTTGTTGGTACTCACGTCGATGCGGTATCGGTTAAAGTGAATCCAAGGGGACCTCACACTAACACCAAAGATGGCTACCAACGACTCGCAGTGGCTCCGTATCTGTCAGAGTTTGATCACCGGTATTTGAACCGTGATTTGGGCGTGGCCGGTTCAGTCTTAGTACGCGGGTCTGACAATAAAGTGGAACGCCGTCTCATTGATCTGAAGCGACCAATAGGAACCATTCCTAAACTTGCAGAGCACTTTGGCGACGTGGCTGATAAACCATATAATCCTCAAACGAAAATGGTCCCCATTGTCGGCCTTGGAAAGCAAAACTGGGATGACTTCATCAGTGATTTAGCTGGAGTCCAACCAAAGCAAGTATTGGTGGCCGACTTGGATTTATACGATGTACAACCGGCAATCATTGGTGGTCTCGACGATCTGATGATCTTTCTGTCGGCATTAGACGACCGTCTTTGTCTGTTTGCCGCTATTGAAGCCCTCGTTGAATTTTCTAAGCAGTTTTCTCAGGAGGAAATTGCTGAATACGATGGGTTTGTCGGAACGTATTGTGCTAATCATGAAGAGATTGGCCTGGGCAGTCGTACGGGCGCCAAACTGGGTCAATTGAGAGACATCTTTGAACTGGTGGCAGGACTGCCCGCGGCTCTGGCGCAATTGATGGCTAATACCATCGTTATCTCATCGGACGTCACCCACGCCGTAAACCCCAACTACAGCGCAGTATACCTTGATGGCCATAAACCCACCATCAACACTGGGCCCACGATAAAGATTGATAGCAACATGCACGTGCTTCTGGACTCGCCCGGGTGGCTATACGCTCAGACGCTTGTGGACCAGTATACTGAGGGGATGGAGCTTCAGGTGTTCCACATTCGTAACGATCTGAGACTGGGCGGTACCATTGGACCCATCATGAGTAACCTGCTTAGAGGGATTAACGGCGCCCGTTTGATTGTGGATATTGGCCTTCCCATTCTTGCCATGCACTCCATCAGATCGGTGTGTGGGGTTAAAGATATTGCCATGGGAGTGGACTTGTTCAAAGCTGCTTTTGAGCACCAAGCGGTCAACGATATTGAATTTTGAACATCATAAAAAGTTAATTATAGACGAAATAGAAAGTACACGAGATTATGAAACGCCACCTGAAACAAAACAATCGTTGAGCTAAATTCAATCGTGCCATGATTGATACACGTAAACAACATTGGAATTAATGATTAATAGAGTTATTGATTTACAACAGCGTTACAATCGCCAGGCAGAGCTTACGGTCGAGACTCACCAGGAGATCTTAAGAAGACTTGTGTTGCGCCATCAGCACCGAGTTGAAATCGCTACTCGGATAGGTGTGCCTACCAAAGTGCTTGATGGTATGAGTGGAGAGTTTGATAAAGTCGTTGAGAGTTTAATTAATTACTTTGCCAATGAAATTGCCCAGTACCATCGTCTTTACCATATGGATATGGACCGTCATATGGCGAGAAAATTGATGAAAAAGCCGGTGGTGATGTCGCCTTCAGGCTACAAAACTAATGAAGACCAACGTGTAATGCAAACACCACAGAACTTCACGATGGAAGTGTTGTCTAGAGAGGCTAAGGTGTTTGTCTCAGAGTTTTTGGTGATTACTCTCAGTATTATGTGTATGGCGATGGTAATCAGATGGGGCTCTGTCATTCCTGATTTAGTTGCAAGCCATTTAATATTTCAGGCACCGTTCCCATTGAGTATAGTTGAGTTGTCGAACTTGACCACTGCCTTTGTACGTGCATGATGGTTTTATTAGGGTACACCAAATTTGGTAGTCGCTAATACCAGGTCAAATGCGATTTGATTGTGTACTTGATTACTTAATGCTGATGTCCAATATCCACCATTTGGAAAACTTCTATTTTCTATCCCACATCTCCTCCCTTTTGGGTTTCTTTTGGGGTAACGGTGATTGTCGTCAGACATTTTCAGAATTGTCCTACATCTCACTGTGCTCATAACCAGATTCGCGCCTCACTATAAATTTTCTTCATCTCATTGCTTAAACATGAAAAATTCATACCCACTACTAATACCCAAACGGTAAGTTCGTTCCCCTTTTAACGACCAACGGAGAAGTCCCCGTATTAACAAATGTGATATTTTTTATCTAATTGAGTCTGAGGATCATATCCTCAATATAATCTTCTCTCTCTCAAGTCCGGAGATGGCATAATGCCATCTCAGATTGACAGCCCCAAAATATTGCCAACATGATGAAAACATTATAATTATTACTTAGGTGAACTACGATGATCTCAAAGTAAACGCTTGACTTCTGAAGGCAATATTGAGGACTGTCTAATCTTTAGTATATTTGGGGACTGTCAGAACTTTAGTTGAAGTCGGCTGTAGTGAGAGTCTAGTGTATTAATTATTAGGTCTATAAGGAGGGGGTCCCGTAAGCCGGCTTAAGGGAGCATTAACTAAGCGTATGTTTGGCCCTAGATGGTGATGTCCAACACCATGCCGACGTCGTCGACGCCCGGCTTGGCCAAGTCCTCCAAGATGGGGAGCAAGTCCAACAACTCGTTGTCGTGGGTGTCGGAGAACCACAGCGAGATCGGGATCAGGTGCTGCGGGTGGAAGATGTACAGCGCCGGCAGGTTGTCGATGATGATGGTGTCGCGGAGGGGGCGCCCCACCTGCGACAAGTTCTTGATGAAGTTGCCCTGGTAGTTGTAGCACAGGTCGCGGAAGAGGCGGTGGTGCACCGCGTGGTGGACGTCGAGCTTGTCCAACAACGGGTCGCCGTACTTCAGCACCAGCGCCGTGAACACCACCACCTCGTATAGCTCGCCCACGCGGCGCAAAAACTCGTCGACCCCTGGGCGCTTAATTACGTACACGTGGTGGACCTGGTTATCAATTTCGACGGGGATCACGAAGTCGGCGGTGCGCAAATACTTAAAACTCAGATGGACTAAAGTCTCGTCCAAGTCGAGAATAAGACACTTGCGGTTGGCAAACTGGGGCGGTTTCGGTCCTAAGAGGGCGCCCGTGGTCGGGTTAAATGCTTGGCCCGGCTGGAGCTTGGTGAGGTCGAGAAACTCCTCTTCTTCCAGCGGCTGGTAGTCGGGGTCGAGCTCCTCCATCTCGCAGTCGACGTAGCCGTCGGTGGCGGTGCCGTTGGCGTCGTAGTGGTCGCCCGAAGCCGAGGTGGTGGCAGCGCCCGCCGTGGCAACGGTGGCGGCGGCAACAGCAGCAGTAGTCCCAGTATTAGTGTTGGTGGCAGCGGTGGCGACGGCGCCGGTCGTGTGTGTACCAGCGCCACTGGCGACGGTCCGCGACGAGTCGTGGTGGTGGTGGTTATGATGATGGTGGTGGTCAGCGTCACGGTCGGCGTCGGCGGCGCCTATACCGTCTTTGACGGGTTCCTCGCCGAGCGCCGCCAGGTCGTCATTAGTAATAGTATCGGTTTCGTTGACCAGGGTCGAGTCGCGGTCGCTGTTCTTCTTCACCAGGTGGCTAGCGCCGCCGGCGGCGGCGCTGGCGGCGGCGGCTTTGGCGGACGCCGCCCGTTTCTGTTCGGTTTCCTTCTGGATGGCCGCTTGAGCGGCGGCGGCGGCGCCCACTTTCTGATTGGCGCCACGAGTATTAGTAGCAGCGCCCAGCTTCAGCGTCAGGCTGGGCGACTTGGTGTCGACGCCGGTGCCGTGGTGCGACACCACCCGGGTGGGGTCGTGCTTCGACTCGGACACACAGCAGAGCAACGACAGTAACAACTTGTGCATCGGGCCCACGGGGTGTAGATGCTGGGGGGTTAAAAGGAGAGGAGGTCGGCGCCGGGGGCTGAGGGAGGGACAACGGGGGGCGCAAACTACCGGGGCCTTTGGGGTGGATAATTTGTTTTTGCCTGAGAGCGCTGGTGATGCGCGCGGTGCGCCCAAATAATCGTCTAAATTGACGATGACGAATAGTACAGAGAGGCAACAGAAAGGGAGGGAGAGGATTGGAAATGACATTAGATGGTCCTGTATCGAAGGTAGACTAAGTCTGAAACATAGTAGATCGTATCAAGGTCTGTCATAGTAGAACTACATGGCGTTTGTCTAGGCGCTCGACGACTTTTTTTTAAGGTGAGGGTAGCGTCCGGGTGCGGGCGGCGTTATACCAATTTGACGTATACCCGGCACCCACGCCCGCTAAGTGGCGCTCAGGGTTGTGTGCGGTAGTGGCCGGAGCCGGTCCGGCACAGCAACTGTGCGGAAGCCATGGGTCCTTGGCCCCGTTTACGAGCGCTGGCGTTTATTTCGGATAGGTGATTTAGTTTTTGTGGTTCGCCGGCAGTTACGGTTTGCGGGGAATAGGGGCTCTCTTAGTCTAGGGCGTATAGTGAGGCTGGGGTGGCGCTCACTTTGTTATGATTGTTTTTTTTTTTTCATGCTCTCATTGGCACAGGCCCGTGGTAATTACCACAGTGCGACGACCATTAAGGTCACAAGCAAACAATAAGGCCAGAGCATACAGAGACTAAAGTTAGACATTAAATTGAAACTAAAATGGAAACAAGTACACTGGTAATCCATAGTAATGCCCATCTAAACCCCTAATACTCCGTCGTTTGTCTATTTTCTTGAGAATTTTTCAATTTCACCACGCGTCTAGGACAGCCAGCATTTTTCGCACTCCAGCGTCCAGTGCTGGCTAACTGAGGCGGCGCATACTGTACGTGTGGCGACGAGAAATTTTACACGAAACCTGGAAAAATTGATTGAGTCGGGGTCAATTGATCAAAATAAGACACCGCTTTTTGGCCAGGGACTTATGCCTAGATTAACTAACCTTATATCTCCTAATGGTCTGGCTGGCGTACGGCTGAGGTTTGTTTATGGCCCCTCGCCTGTGTGCCCCTGGCTGCCGCAGTTTGGCTCTCGCCTTACCTAAGACTGCGTGTAGTTTTACGCGAAGACTTCGACTCTACGAATACAGACAACTGCCCAAAAACTCTAGAGTTTCCTTCAATTGATGAATATCTTTCACTTCCTAATCCTCTGGTCATCATCAATTCTCTGTTTAGTTCATTAGTGATGGGATTGTTGGCTGATGTGGTCTCCCCTTTCCTTAACGCACGGGGTCGCAGCGCCGCTGGCTGGCCATCCCCTTTCAGCCAGCACCGTTGATCCCCCCGCCACCAGCCATTTGCGCCACTATTAAAACGTCCCCGATCCCACCATAGGCAGCTCATTGCCTCAACACGACAATCCTCGTCTCCCCAAATGTCGCCGCTCCCGCAAACGCCGCCGCGGCCTAAGCGGGTCACCATCCAGACCACCACCCCCGTCGAACTGCCCGCCCTCAAACGGATGATGGCGCTGCCGTTGAAAGGTCTGCCGCTGAAGCTGAAGCAGATCAAACGGGCCCCGAAAACCGGGATGCACACTCCCGAGTACACCCCAAAGCGGAAACGGAAGTTTGCCGACGACATCTTCGCTCTGCTCCACCACGACTCCCACCACGACCGATTCAATTTTGGTGTGTTATTGCCGCTGCCGCTGACCATCGGCTCGGGCCGCGTCATTGGACGTAAAGATGCTGGCCATCTTGCGCCGTCGATGCCGCTGCCGGAAGCCCACCACGCGTTTATCCTGAAGATCTCGCCCGACTTCCTGTTTGAGGAAGAAGTGGGGACGGAGCTTGTAACGCCGAGTACCCCTGGTCCCCAAATGATCACTGAAGACTTAGTCGACCAATGGCACGGTAAACTGTTTAAACAAGTCGATAGCTCGTCAGAGGAAGAAGACGATAGCGACGACGACTGGGGCTCAGAGCCGAAGAAACCCAAACAACTAAAGAACCCGTTTGTCGAATCTTCCTCCTCTTCTTCTATTGTTACCCAAAATAAGCGCCAGCGCCGAGTCAACCCGTTTGCCCTGTCGCCAGTGGCGGAACCGGTCGACTACCTGACCCACCTCGAGATGGTGAACAACCGCACCGGCGAACGCAAGGTCGTCCGCCTCAGTGCCGCCCAGCAGAAGCACAAGCCCAAGCGGCTCGACTTCTCCAACATCTAGCATACCACGGAAAAAAAGGAAGGAAAAAGACCCCTGGGGGGTCCAATGTCTCATGTTTATTCTTTTTTATTCATTTTTTCATATATAGCATTTGGGTTTAGCGGTATTAATTACCGTGTGAAACCACATCATTAGTGTGGCTACGAATATACACACTAGTCCCTCACTCAAATAACAATAAAGGCACAACGAGACCATACTTGTAGAAGTTTCGAGAGAATTGTATGACTTATAATCAAATGCTTTCCAGAGCACAGAGTAAGATCGTATTGTTATTTTCAATCATTATCACCGTCGTGGGAGGCGGTCTTATTAATCTGTTGGTGGGAGTAGTATTCGCCAAGGACTCGATCAATAGCGTACACCGCGCCATACTTCACGAAGAGCTTAAGCTTACGAAACTTGTATAACTCATCCTTGTGCCCGTCAGCAACACCCTCAACAGAGCGAAACATTCGCGGCCAGAACGGGTGGCGCTCAGCTTCACTGGTCTCAAGGTACTCAAGCAGCTCGAGGAAATGCTCGGCAAACGGGTGTGTGTACTGATCGGAAGGCCAATGGTACACCAACCGTTTCACGGTAGGGGGGAATGGATTATTGTTGTCCTCGGCGGCGAAGAATTTGTCGTCATCAATGAGTAGTTCTCTCAAGTTCACTAATCGAGATGCAATCTTATAAATGTTTCCTGGTTTGTGGTCGTAGCATTTCACAATCGACAACTGTTTCACGGACAGAAGGTCAACACCCCCGGCGATGTTTACGACGCCATCAATCATCAGGAGACTGTCCACTCTCACTTTATTCGCAATGGGAAAAGTAACAATCCCCTTCAATGTAAGTCGGGACACGTAGGGGTCCTTCCATGGAGGCTTTGGCACCACCGACGTTATATTGAAGTACGGATAGTTTCCACGGATGTTACCTTCCACGACGACGACAACCTCTGCCGGAGCCAAGTGCCGTTTGATCGCTTCGAGAAGCGGTTCATGCAACACTGGAGGTTGCAACACCGTGTCGATAAATACCTTCCGTGCCGGCAATTTCGCTTGTAAACGCATCAAATGGATGAATTGGCGACGGGAGAGGAACAGCCAGTATAGGAGTTCGTCCACGGCATCATCTAGAAACGGGTCAGCGTGGCACACGTACACCTGGCGGAATAGTCTTTCTTTGGCCACGTGATTGACACTTTTTGAAAGCGATAGAAACGGGTACACCCGGTGCTGGGGGAGGAAATCGAGGATACGAGCAATGATCTCCACCGGCAACGCCATGTGGTGACTGAGAGATGGCTTTCTGGCTTGTACCATAAGCAGAGAAATGTCACACATCTGTGGTGGCTCCCGATCCAGCGGGACTACCGTCGTAAGCACCTTTCCCTTACCTGGAATTGTCAGGTCTTGGTCTTCACTGGATAGTACGATATCCTCTCGAACGATAGCAGACTGGTCCATAGCGTTAGAGGTAACTTGTAGGTTTCCAATACCTGGTACCATACGTCTTGTTGATAAACAATGAGGCGGATATCGCCACTGGTTGCAGACTGAACAACAGAGCAAAATAAGACCCTAGGTCCAAATACCAGGTTCAATTGAATGAAAGCTTCTCAGGGCGCAAATACCATGGGTTGATGATTGTGCTAATAAGAAGGGCGCGCGAAGCGACTGACAATGTTTTAGGCTTCGTTTGATTGTAAGGCTGTTCTCAAAATTCAATCTGAAACCTCAAGTTGACCATTGACATCAGCAAACCATTTCTTCTTTCGATTCATTCTAGTTGCCAACTTCATGTTTTCACACAATGTAATAACCGCATGTGGCTCGCACTAATTGTTTCTATAATAATCACATACACCCATAATTGTATGCCTAATTCGAGTCAAGTAGGCTGCTTTGCACTAACAATCACCAAACTCACTTATTCCTCATCTCGACTGATTTTTCAGTCTCACAGTCATTAGTCTCCGATCCCTTCCTTTTGGTCTCTGGTGGCAGCCGTCGGTGCGATCGCCACCTTGAACGCGCGGTCGCCACCATAATCGCATTCCACACTAAATGGACGGGGACCAGGCACTCACCAACGCCCGTAAGGCGGTGGAACTGAAAGACTACGCTCGTGCAGAGACGCTTTACCGCGAGGTGATCTCCCAGCCCATCCCTCAGGACCTGAACAAGGCGCTGGCCCAGGCATTGCAGCAACAGGAACAGGCGATCCTCGAGCTCGGTAAGGTCTACCAGACCACCAAGCGGGCCGACCAACTCTACGCGATGATTGGAGAGTCCCGTAAAGTGCTTGGCAACTTCGCCAAGTCGAAAACGGCGAAGATCGTCAAGACGTTGATCGAAGACTTTGAAGGCATCCCCGACTCGTTGGACGTCCAGATCAACGCCACCAAGGAGCTGATCGAGTGGGCCGTCGAGGCGAAGTTGCTGTTTTTGCGCCAGCTGTTGCAATTGAAGCTTGCCGAGTTGTACTACGCCAAGACGCAGTACCAAAACGGGCTCAACTTGTTGATTGAGTTGCTCCGCGAATACAAGAAGTTGGACGACAAACTGAGTCTTGTCGAGGTCCAGTTGTTGGAGCTGAAGATCTACCACGCTCTCCGCAACATCCCCAAGCTGAAGGCGGCGTTGACGGCGGCGAGAACACTGGCCAACTCCATCTACTGCCCCACTCTTTTACAGGCGGAGCTCGACTGCCAGCTGGGGATCCTCAATGCTGAAGACCACGACTACAACACCGCGTTCTCCTACTTCTACGAGCTGTTTGAAGGGTTCAATCTGCAAGACAACGAGAAGCTGATCGTGGTGCTCAAATACATGTTGTTGACGAAGGTGATGTTGAACAAAATCGACGAGGTGAACCAGATCTTAAACAACAAGCACGTCAAGAAGTACGAGCTGAAAGACATCGACGCCATGAAGCTGATTGCCACCGCCTACCTGAACCGGTCGCTCAAGGAATTCGAGCTGCTGTTGATCACTTACCTGAACGAGTTGAAGCTGGACCCGATAATCAAGAACCACTTCAACGCGTTGTACGACAACTTGCTCGAGCAGAACATTTTGAAGATCATCGAGCTGTACAGCGTCGTCGAGTTGACCCACATCTCAAAGATCATCGGGCTCAATTTGCAACAAATCGAAGGCAAATTGTCGCAAATGATCTTGGACAAAGTGTTCTACGGGGTGTTGGACCAAGGCAACGGGTGGTTGATCATCTACGACGAACCGGAAAACGATAAGGGCTACGAGGCAGCGTTGGACTTGATCAAGAACTTGAACAACACCGTCGATCTCTTGTACGAAAAGGCTCTGTCGTTGAACTAGCTTATATAATGATAATACGAGTAATTATTAATCTCTCTCTTGGTAATTAACCTCTGGCAGGGAAGAGGCCGTTGACGCCACGCTCAAGGGCAATCGTCGCCACCTCGCTCACCTGAGCCATGAAATTTGGCAACAGCCCGCCCTGCTTGAAACACTCAAGGTAGTCGTTGCTATCGTCGGCAACGCTGTCGATCAAATCGAAGGCCCGCGCCATGTAGCGCCAGTCCTTCTCACGAGCAGTGACGAAGATCACAAGCAAGCGGATGATGAGGTAGGGCACGAACGTATGGCGGAAACTCTTGAATAATTGGTTAGCCTCCTTGGAGGCTCCGGTGACGGACCCTTTACGGAACCACGTTTGGATCAAACGTGTAAGCGTCAGCGTCACTTTCTCAATCGAGTGCTCGACGGCGTCGCCATTGCCGGCGTCGTGGCCGCTGTTCCAAGCCTTTTTGGCAGCAAAATCGTCAAATTGACGAATGAACCGGAGACCATCAGCTAAGTGGATATACTGTTCAAACTCGTCGCGCTGGGCGTGGTCAAGCACGTCTTCACCTTCCTCGCCAATGGTTTGCCGGTCGTACTCTTTGAGAATCTTATTAAGGTTTTTGTCGGTGGACTCAGCGAAATGGGCAAAGGCAGCAATCTTGCCCACGCTCAAAAACCGACGGATCACGTGGAGACTGGCATTGATAAAATGGTAGTACATGCCGTTGACGTAGTACGAGTCCACCGCCGATATTAGCCGGGCGTCTTCGTCGTCGTAGGCCAGGTCGTCCAACTGGAACTGCTCTTCGGGCTGGTAGTACGCCTTGGTTTCGTCCAAAGCGCTCTGCGCCATGTGGTGGATGACGTTCTCCGTTTGCGCCATTTCCTGTTCGCCAGGGTGAAGCGACATATCCGCCAAGATATCCTGCCACTTGCGTAAAAGCGGCTGCCGTTCGTTGGCGGGGACTTGCGATAAAAACCTCAGCAAAAGCTCACGCCGCTGAGTCTCGTCGGTGACGAAACTGTAGTAGATGACGACGCAATTATCCAACTGGTCGCGGTGTAAGCGAGCGGTGTAAGCGTCAATGAGGTTGGTGGTGGTTTGGTGGATATAGGCGGCGTCGTCGTCATTTTCAGTGCCGAATAACTGCTGGTAGACGATGGCCATGTGGGTGACGATGCGGAGATACAGCAGGGCGAGACGGTCGGTGTGATTGGCGGTGTCGGCAAACAAATTGAGCTCGTACCCTTGGATGACGGAGGCAAAGAGCACGCGGTGGCCGTCCTGCGACGCCTGGTTGAGCTCGTTCAGCATGTCGGTAAGGGTCTGGATGATCTGGGAAATGTTGCTAAATTGAGGTGGGGGAGTACACGGTTCGACGTTAGCCCCCGTAGCTTCGATCCAGAACTGCTCGAGACGGTAGGCCAATAATTGCAAGCAATATAGTAAAAGCGTCTGTTCCCACGACCCCTGGGCTTCGTCAATATTCTCGGTGATATCGCCACCAACAAGCGCCGAGTAGATCATCCGTTCATAACGATTAAGGCCCGGCAGGCGTGACAACTCATAAGTAGTACGTTTCCACGTCAACTTATCCTTCACACCCAGCGCCAGTTTTGGCACTTCCACGGCGACATCGCCGTCGATCTCAGGGTCGTGGTACTCGTTCAGAGCCCCGACAAGGATAAGGGCAAGGGCAAAGTTGCCGGTATCGTTAGCGACGACACTCGCCTCCTCGTAGTTACCGGCAAGCACTAGCCGGTAGATCAGCCTAAACACCGAGCTATCGCGTTCTTCGTCGGCAGGGTGGATCAACTTATTGGTGCGGATGGGCGCGTCGACGTCCAAGTGGTCAATAAAGTTGAAATTGAGCAGATTGCCCACTTCGGCGGCGGTGGCCTGCCACTTCTCTCCCTTCAAAACTGAGGAGTCAGCGTCAGTTTCATCATCGTTGAAGGTGGAGGCAATGGTACGCTGGAGCCAGTGAATCACGATCTCAAGCTCCTTGAGCTCGGGGTGGGCCAACATGTAGTTTTCTTGTTTCAATCGGAGGGCTGTGTATGGAAACTCAGGGTACGGCTGGAGGTCGCCCGTTTCAAGGCGAAACCGGAACTCGTACAACACGTTGATCAAGTCCCATAGTGTCGTTTCCTCCTCCCAGTTGTGTACTTGCGATGGTTGTGTCTGCGACGCCTTGCGGGTCAACTCGGCGGTGGCCTCACGGAACTGGCGTACCGCGACAAACACGTCGCCGGAGGTGTCCCCTGACTGCTGGAGCGACTCGAGCACCCGGGCAAACCGCGTCAGTGCCGCCATTATGGTGTGGGTTGGTAGCAGTGGACTGGGGGTAGTGGTGGTGCTTGTTTTTCGGTGCGAAGCCTCTGGTAAACAGGGGGGAGGGAGAGAGGGTATGATGAGGCTTGACGAGGTGTAAGAAGTGATATTAAGGCCTTGATTCTGGTTAGATTTTGACCGTTATATTGAAGATTTCAAATTTGACGTTTCTTGGATTGATGGGTGTAGGAGGAGGTGTAAAATGTGGACGCGATGAGATGGTCGAAACTGAAAGTAGTCGTTCTATTGGTAAATGGTTTGAATTTGAATTCAGTGAAGTCAGCTCAGACTAATTGATGATCGCTTGAAACTGTAAGATTTGAAAACAAGGTGTTTACACCTTTCTTCTATCGCCATCATGTGACTCAAGCGACGCGAATCGAAGACTATCGTCAGTTGCCATCTATCTTCCAGAGGAACCCTATAAGCCATGCTCAAATATGGCGACAACAAAGATGAAGAGGCTTTCGAAGCTAGCGAAAAGTCACTTGACAGCTCACCCAACCTGAAATTGACTCGAGTGAACCCATGGATCAGGAGAATATTCGTCTGTGTCTTTCCAGTGTTATGGCTTTTGTCCGTCTACTGGGGGTTCAAAGCTGGTGTCTATCTCAGCGAACGCCAAAAACAACGACAACGATACACAACTGCACTTACCGCTCACTTTACAAGTGATGGCACCGTCGAGGGGAACTAGATAATACCCCTTCTTGAATCGCTAATCCGAGAGGTATGTCGAGAACTATGACAACAAAGTGACACCCCTCGACACTGCACGATGATTTTACTTGAGAAATCTCACCAGAATCTTATTATCTGATTAAATTATATTTCAATCAAGTATACGAAGATAGCACTCGACGAGATCTTAATTTCCTTTAGCAATCTTCACTTGCTCATCATATAAATAAACTAATCACATTAATAAATTAAGAGTAAAGGACGTTGATATTCTTCGTCGTTCAATAGTATCTGAGTTCGATGGGTCTCCCCACAAAATGCCTGCATATAACCCAGACCCGCCCCTCACTGATACCTCACTCCGGTCCCCGATTGCCCCTCCTCCTCAATTGTCTTCCTCGCCATTGACCCCTGCCTTCCCCCATGTCGGTTGACGTCGACGAAGACAACAACCCGTTCGGCACCCCGACCAGCATGCTTGCCCCCACTGCCAACGACACCCCCACCCAGGCATCACCTGACGCCACCGCCGACCCGGCGCCACTGACGTCACCGCCCCACGACGACGGCGACGACGCCGATGACCTCCTATTCAACAATCCAGGCGACCCCAGGTATAGTGCTATGGTTTCCATCAACCCTGAGTCCCGTGTCGGTCGGCTTTTAAAGCCTGGACAGCCAGTAAAGGCGGAAATCATCGACGCTAGCTCGTCCCGTGAAGGACTGACTAACTCCAAACTGTACGTCGTATACACCATCAGATTGATCAATCTGAACCTTCCGGGAGAGAAGGCCGACACCAGACGCCGGTACCTGGATTTCGTCGGCCTCAGAGAGATATTGTGCAAGATATTCCCCCTCGTGATCATACCGCCGATACCGCCCAAAAACTACGTCAATTTGAAACAACTAGTGACTCCTGAGATTGGAAAGCCCGAGTCGACCACGCCCCAGACTCAGCTCACTAATGGCCTGGGCCATACAGGCACCGACAAGTATAGCTATATCAATAGCACCCATTTGACCCAGCGACGGCTTGTGGAACACCGCCAGCGGTTACTTCAACGGTTTATCAACAACTGTTTGAACATTCCTCAAATCAGAAACCTTGAATTCTTCCATAAGTTCTTGGATCCCAATGCTAATTGGGGCGATGAAGTGACGCTTATCCTTTCGCAATTACCAAAACTGGTCTACTGTTCGAACCCCGAGAATGGATTAAAAATCGACCCGATGTACCAACACTTACCGCAACCGCTGTCATCTTCGGTAAAATCATTAGTGAAAAAGGGAGCTCATTTATTATCGTCGTCTCAAGGCGAAGACAGTAATAATGACCGCCATCTGCCTGAAGACGGACCCCCCACCGCCTCCATCATGGACACTACGGGTCTAGACATTATCAATAAGCGGATCATGGAGAGCTTCATCGGCATGGCTCAGGAGTATGCTGACTTGGGTACTGCATTCAATCTGATGCTGCTTGTGGCATTATCAGATAACGACGATACCCCTAAGCTCAATCTAATGTTTGATCGGTTTGGCCAGATCTTCGACCGGCTGTATATCACGATCAACTCCGTGGTGGCCGATCTCGATACCCGGTTCTCGGAACCGTTAGGTGAAGTCGTCCAGTATACCGGGATTTTCCAGGACATTCAGAAGTTCCAGCTGCGTAAGATCAAGCAGAAGCTGATGGTCGACACTGAGATCGCCAATAAACGGGCGGAGCTCGAGGACCTTTTGCAGGCAGAAGGCCAGCCGTCCACTCACGCTGTTAGTGCCACCAAAACTGGGTTCCTGTTTAAGAAACTTCAACAGATCGTTACCGATATCATCGACCAGAACCCTGAACAAACGAGAAAGGAACGCATCGAATACTTAAAGCAGAAACTAGGAATCTTGGAAAAGTGCCAGGGGATCATGCTTGAGGACTTATCGTATATTGCCGACGAAATCAACAAGGGACTGGAGCTATTCAAGCGCCAACAGCTCCAGCAAATCTACCGCATCTTGCTTGACTACAACGGGTTTCTTCTTGGCTGGGCGAAGAAGAACTGCGACATTTGGGAGGACATCCGCGAGGAAATCATTAATCTATAGAGAGAGTACACACCATTTCAGGCGGCCGCCGCTTGCTCGTTGAGTTCTTCCATGTAGCGGATCACCGGGGGCCCCCACTCCCAGCTGCGTTTGTACTGGCCGATGTCATCGGGAATACCGCGGATCTGGCCAGCAAACCGACGGCGTACTTCTGGGGTTTCATATTTGAAATGGGACATTGGCATCAAGTAGGTACGGATGGTAAAAACCACCGCCTCAGTCTTAGGGAGTTTTGTGAGTACTTGGCGTTCACTGCGGTAATGCACTTCGTTATCAAAATCACACTTATCGTAGTCGAGCGGCTCCTGGAGATAATCTTTAGGTGAGTTGTGGCCCTTGTTTTGGTCATCAGTGTAAAATTTATGGTGGGTTTGGACGGAAAAGTTGGAACGGGTAACAAAGTTTCCTGGAGCAAGCCGACTGAAGAACCGGTTCATCAGCACTTTGAGCTTTTCTTCATAGCCCGGGATCGGGTGGTGGATAAACAGTAATGGCTTATTGAACCGGTCGCTGGGGTTAAACCCCGCGGCAAAAGCAAATACCCCGGCTTTGAAATGGTACTCATCACCATCAACTTTTCCAATTTGTGTAGGGTCTTTCTTCAATATGATAAAGTCTTCTTCAATAGTGTCGACCAAATAATTAAGCAATTGGTCTGGAGTTTGGTCTCCCGCGTTGCGTGGCAACTTCCAGTCCATGATCTTATTATGGATATAATCACCGTCAACGACGAAATATTGCGGGTACTTCAGTGTCATATAATGCATGATTGTGTCGTAGAACTCACGTAACAGATCCTCTCCATCACCGGCACAAAATACCGTCGACTTCCTGATATCGGAACGGTGGGCATAGTCTGGGTGTTGATCGCGGATAATTTGGCGCTTATTTTCAATTCTCAGCTTATAAGTAGGTTCAATCAAAAGCCAGTCGTCAGCGGTGATAGTCTTGATGCCCATGGTCAATTTGTAGTCACCATCCTTGAATGGATACAGTTTCAATGGTTCAACTTTGTCCCACTCAAAGTCCGGGGACACTGGTTTCACTTGCAACGGACCCCGGTTCTCCGTACCATAAATCAGTTTCTTTGTCAGTGATGTGGTAGCAGTTGGATTGGCGGTGGAGGCTGGGGAGGTCTTGCGGCTTGTGATCCAGTAAGTAGTGAGTACCACCACTAGACCCACGACCAAGCTAACCACGGTAGTATCAAGCGGAAACGAAGTGCGAAAAGTATTGTCCAACAGTTCGGTGACGTTGCTTTTGGGATTCATTCGCGGGTTGCTTTGATCTCTTCAGGTTTTCGTCGAATATATGTATCGAGGCAAACCCCACTATCGGGCGGTTGCGGAGACCGGTTCCCGCCGCCAGCTGCAAACCGCCTTGGCAACCGTTGCCCCATGGTTAAATGCAATGGTCAGAAATTAGGGAGAGTGGAGATCTATCACCAAATGGCTACTGCTAGATAAAAGCTTATGGCGTAGGTGTAGCGATAAGGCTGGCGCCACAGGTGTGGTAGCGCAGGCGGTGTTGTCTACACGTGAGTGTTTGGGGAAGGTGACGCGCATCGAAGGTAGCCGTGCGCAATCAGCTGCCGGTTGTGGATCTAATCGAGACTTAAACTGCGAGGCGTCTTAATCGCCGATATGAGGGGAGGCCACCGAGGATAGCAAACTGAACCGAAAATTAAAACTCAGTAATGCTAAGCGAGATCGTTCGCGGAGATTGATTGAGATGAATGACGTTGGGATATGTATTGCATGGAACGCCCACAACGGCTTCATTATCACCCGTTAGATTAAACATGTCGTTCTCTGGTGCACACTGTTTGCAGCCGAATGATATCTACCGATAAGTGTCCAAATAGACCCTAATCAATTTGCAGCTAGGAGCACGAGGTACCTTTCCACGTACGCCGCCGTGGAACACGTTGCTGATCTAAGCTACACTATTGGTACTTAGCCGCTTTTCGATGTGACGCCCCTCATTGATAGACGCCGGCCACTTCGCGCCATTGTGTCGACTGCAAAACAACATTGGAAACATACAGAATCGAACCCACGACTTATATTGAGGTTTGCTTAAGCGATCATTTCTAGTTCAGTCTATCATGAAACCTCATAAAACTCATATAGCAAGTATTATAAGGTATTCAAATTGTGATGGTAGTGGAGTAGATGACGTACTTAGTATTTCCGATCATCAGCGATATGAAATGCCTTACGTACTGCATACACAATTTATCCCTGCATACACAGTCTACTCTGCATAACCTTTCTATCCCTGCATATAGTGCGAATTCAGCAATACTGCCTTAACTACTTCAAATCTCAAGTCAACTTGCTCAAATATTTATCTACTATACTTCTGTAGATAAAGAATTTTATGCAACAAACGGTTTGATCTTAACAATTTTTCCTGATTTTATATCACATTTTGAAGTTTTTCGGACGGAACTTCAGAAAAATCCCATTTGGTGTTGGACATACTCTTTGAACCGTAATAAATTCAGCGCTGTGTTTCAACTCTTTTAAAGTGTTATATATGTGATGAAAAATTTGATTTAAAACTTATGAACCATATGCACATGCAAAGCTTGTGTGCAGAACATCAGACTTGAAAGCATGATAGCTGTGTCTGAATTGGGGTTGACACCGTCTTTGACCCATCACGTCAAATATAAGTGTTTAAAGACCATAAAAAAGCTGAAAAAAGTGACCTGGCAACTCGGTTAGTACCTATTTTAACTCACCTTATTGTGTCCTGCAGTTTTCTGATGCACCTGCATATAGGAATGGTACGTAAACGAAGTGATACAACACTCTTTTCACTATTACAGACATCGCAGGTCAACTTCAATGCTCACTAGATGTAATACATGACGCTACAAGCTGAAAATCACGCAAAAAAAAGATTTGCAAGAAAAAAAAAAAGTTTTTTTTGTACCTAAAACCTCACGTAGCTTCATCAATTTGAAAGTGAACTTCCCCAAATTCACCTCAAATATATTTCCAGTCCCAAGGAATCTTATGGAGCAAACTAATTGATTTTATTGATTTTTCCTGAATTTATAACACACTTTTTAGTTTTTCCAAAGAAAAATTCAGAAAATACCATTTTCTGTCGCAAGTACTATTTGAACACTAAACATTACACTGCTGATCTTCATTTTTCTTTAGAGTGTTTTTTACGTCATTTAAGAGTGTGGTTATGGTTTTTAGTGTTTCTTGCAGATAGAAGTCTTGTGTGCAGGCATGGATGGTGCAGAAATCCAGTGTTAGCTCTTAGAAGACTTGTCAAAATAAATAGAGTCTACAACAATTACAGTGGTATTTATCTGAAAAAGCTATTCACTCCTGAATCTCGTGTCACGACTCAAAGTGTTAGGTTCCGTATCTCTTTTGAGCTCCTGTATACAAACGTCTCCACTAGACGAACTGTCTCTGGTGAGCTCTTGCATACGAACCTCTCAAATAGACGAGGTGTCTCACGTGAACTCCTGCATACTAATATATTTATTAGACGAGCTTTTACACTTCATTTAAGTCGATTAAACCAGTGCTGCATCCACATCGTGGTTCTACGGAGACGTAAAGTTACTAGAGTTACTCAGAATTCTGTTCAAGTCAGCTCATATCACACATGTTAAATACGAATGATTACAAGGTAAAATGAAAGTTTAATTTGATTGAGTTGTCTAGCATGTCAGGGCTCAAGTTACATCTTGCGTACAACGTAAATTATTTCAACTTTTTTTTTTCAATTTTTTTTTTCTAGGACTTTTTTTCAATTGATTTTCGACTTCTTCTTCTCGGCTAACGACTTTTGAAGTTTTAGCTGATAGCTTTACATTGTGCCTTTGCAATCACTTACAGAAAGTACCTTGTCCACTCATTTCCAACTTATCAGCAAGCGTTTTCACATCGTAGGGCCCAACATCAAGTCAATGACCATACCAATAAATCCGTGTTCACTTATAGGGTCTCCTCAAGATATATTTTTACACTTTGGGGAAAGATGCAGCACCGAACCTCCCTGAAGGGCGTTTATGCCTTCTAGAAACAGCTTGACACGACAGTCCAAGGCCAATCGAAGGTTTACCGAAGATGCTACTCTCAAATCACCACTATTTAACGGTGTTACATTTCGATTCTCTAATATTCTCTATCCCATTAGCCTATATACTATGCCGTAATTAGTTGCGGGTCTATGCCACGGTGGTGAACACCCGCTTCTTCCCCTTGGCCGGAGCGTCGTCGTCGCCAAAGCCCAGCTCGTGCTCGAGCTTCCACTGCTGCTGGACAAACCGCATCGCCGCGGTGTTGGTGCCCACCTGGTCGGCCACCGCGCCCAATCGCAGTCTGATCTGGTCCTTGACGTTCGCCAACTGCTGACGGAGCTTAGCGTCCTTCTGTTGGATCAATTCTCGAGCGTTTGACCGCACAACGAAGAAGAGTACCTTACAAACCAATTGCATGTCGGCGAGCAGCTGTGCCAGCTCAGGTTTGGTCCATTCCTCTATCATTCTGAGGAGCTTCAACGTGTACAGGAACGGCAACACCAAGAGGGCGTCGTCGAGCTGGGCGGGGCTCACCTTGCGCACCACCAGCAACACATGTTCGGGCCCCGTTTGCTTCATGTGTTGGAGAATGGCGTTAACGTAGTTTTCACCCTTCTCTTTGGCAACCACGTAGTCGTAGCCAATGTCCAATGCTTCCATCACTCGCTCCCCTGCCTTTAACAGCTCCATAGTTTGCTTCTGTACTCTTTCCGCCTTATCTTCGTCGTCATCTTCATCCTTGTTAGGGTCAGCGTGAGGGTCTTCCAACAACTCCAGCTCGTAGAGCTCATCCATCTCCTTCTCCTTTTCTTCCTCAATGAAAACTTGGTCACCAAACAGACGCCATACTCTGACAGAGTGGTCGTGCGACGCCAGCACCACCACGTCGCCTTCAGGACCAGCAGCCAAGCACCATACTTCCAGCTGGTGAGCGGCAAGCTTCTGGATACACTCGAACTTGTCCCCGTCCCAGTACTTCACCAAACCGTCCTTACCACTGGAGAAGAAGTGGTGGGTATCGCCCAAGAAACGCACTTGCATCACCGAGTCCTGGTGAGCGAAAATCAGCTTGTGACAATCACCAAAGTCTAAACCCCAAAGCTTGACGTTTTTGTCAGCTGATGACAGCACTAAGAGTTTCAGATCAGCCGAGATATCAAGGGCAAGTACGGGGAGCTTGTGCCCGTAAAGCGTCAAGAACAACTTCAACGTGTCGAAAAACACCACCTGGATGTTATTGTTGAGCAACGACACCGCCAAGAGCCGCTGGTCGGGACTCACTTTCACCGCCAACACGTCTTCGCCCACTTCTAAAGTCTGGTGGTGTTTGAATTTAAGCAGGGTTTGACCGTCGTAGTCTTCACCCACTTTGAATTTCCAAAACTTCACCAGCTTATCGTTCCCGCCAGTGACCAAGGTCTGACCATCAGCAGTCAAATCCATCAGCCACACCGCCGCCGGTTCAGCAGAAGTACCGTGGCCTTGAACGCTGTCAACCACTCGCAGCAGGGCCAAGTCAAAGAGTTCCAAAATACCATTTTTGTAGCCAATGGCAACTAAAGTGTTACCGGGTAAAAACTTACAACAGAGACCGGCACCCTGAGTGACGAAACTGCGGATGACTTTCGAAGTACCCATATTCCACACCTTCAATTCACCAGTAGAGGCAGTCACCACAAGCTTGGCGTCGCTCAGCATGTCCATAGCTCTGACATCGGTGCGGTGACCCGGTAAGTCGACGGTGTGGAGTTTAGTGGCAACAATATCCTTCTTTCCAGAGGGGACCTTCCAGAATTCTAAGGCATTGGCAGCGTTAGCGACCACGGCTCCCAGAGGCAGGAACGTCGCCAGCTTATACTTGCCGGTACCTCTGATAATAGTGACGTCAGTGATGAGAATCAGCATCTCCAGCTCCTGTAACGAGGCAGCAATCTCGTCGTCAGTGTACCCCTTTTCTTTCAAACGCTTAGTACGTTTAGCCACCCCCTTTTTAATCTCGTCGTCGCCTCGAAGTCTCATGATTTCGATCGATTTATCGGCGTTTTGAATCATAAACCGCAGTCCGTTAAATTCGACATGGTTAGTTCTCAGCGACAGTTGTTTCGGGAACACGCCTCTCTCGCTAAGTTTATGTTCTTCAGCAGTGACATCAAGCTTCCACGCCTTATTCTCTTTACCCAGAGTGATCACCAAGTCGTGGTGGACGGCTAACAGCCAGCACTCATTAGCATGGCCCAAATGAGTCTCAAGACACTGTTGCGATGCCATTTCCCATAATTTGACCATCCCATCCTTTGAACACGTGATCAAATAGTCATCTTCGTCGCCAACAAGCAGCAAACCGGTGATCGGGCCTTTGTGTCCTTTCAATCGGAATAACCCTTCTTCACCAACAAGGTCCCACACGATCACCGAGGTATCAGCCGACCCTGAAACAAGTCTGGTACCCGAACTATCAAACTGGAGTTGCGTGATCGCCAGGCGGTGGCCGTTGAAAGACACCACCACCAGTTGTGACGTCAAATCCCATACTTTAATAGAACCGTCGTTATAGCCAACACCAGCGAGATTAGTGGTTTCATAGTAGCACACACGGGTAACCACGGGGGGAGGGTTAGTGGTAGGGGCGTTCAGGGCGCCGGGAACGAGGCCATCGACCATCCGACTGAGGAGTTGGCCCGTTTTGATATCCCACACACACACCGCCTCAAGGGCTCCGACAAGCGCCCGCCCAGTCAGGTTGGTGTGGGGGAGCCACACCACGTTCGACAGCCCGGCAATGACGCCGAAGACGTTGTCCTGTTCGAAACGCTCGTACAGTTTAACCATGGCAGCGGGGCGATGAGGCGCCAAAGCCGCACGATGAGTGCGATATGGTAGACGTTGATTAGGTAAGCGCTGACAAAAACGCAAATTCTGTAGACTACGAAAAACAAAGACAGGCGCACTAATTACACGGCATCAAAATAACTTTCTTAAAGACTTTTTGTTGGAGGGTTGCTTCTCAGTATGCCGCGTGACTAGTGTATTAAGGGCAGTTATTTGGTTGTTGGAAAGGGATATCAGGAGCCCAGGGGCAATTTGCTTAGAGACTGTACTTCACTAAGGAGGCAGCACACTATTCTAGTCACCTATATTGTCAAATTCATTCAACCCCTATTAACTAAGCTCAGATTAACTCATCTGGCAAATCCTTCCGATATTACCCTGATATCACTATGTCCAGAGATACCGCCAGGACTAACCAGTTCAACCGTATATCGCACAGCAGAGCTGCGTCTCTGTCGTTACCCCCTGCGGGGACGGTTTCCCAAGATGGCGTAAGTGCTGACTCAGTGATTTTGGCACAATCATTGACTACTGGGTGAGCTAAGGGCTTTTCGTAGCAACAGTTCATTTATTTGGTATCAATTATCGGCTAGTGTTTGGGATCACAACAAGGCGGCGACCACACCCAAGGCGCCCATAGCGACGCCAAGCTTGTTGGCGTTAGCAGCACCTTCGATAACCCCTTCCACTTGGGGAACAGCAGGCGTCGACGATTGCTGTTGGTCTTGGGGCACAACGTGGGTCTCCCCTGCCCCAGTGGCAGAAGACCCCGACGACGACGACGACGACGATTGGCTGTTTTGGCCCTGTTTGTTGTCAGGGCCTTCGTCGTCGGGGGAGATGGCTTTGATGTCCAACAAGTTGATCAAGGCGATAGTGCCTTGGTCCTTAGTTTCGGGATTGCAGTAACCTGTGGCAATGCGGACCTTGTTGTCGCCATCCTCACAAATGGAGAAACCAGAGCTCCCTCCCTTGGCGGAAAGGTGCCACCCTTGGTAGATGGAGAACTGGTCCTTGGGCTCGTCAGCAGTGGCCAACCGGTGGGTCTTGTCGTCCCACACGAAATACTTTTTGGAGTTCGCGTCGTAAAGGTTACCGTTCTCCTTCAACACCCACTTGATGTTGCTCTCGCCATCACCAACGTGGACGTCGCCGTCGTGGACGGAGATGGTCGAGTTGATGAACTTGGTACGGTCACGGAAGACGACGGCTTCGAAGGTCTGGTCGGCGACCACCGCCGAGGCCAAGAGGGAAAGAGCAGCGACTGAGAAGAACATGATATTTGGTTCAATTGATGATTAATTGTATGGATTTCATAGCATTTATACTTATTCCGTATTGCCTATAAGGTTTAAGAAACCTCGTATTCTTGCCGCGGTACGTGAACGAACATGTCTAATACAACAGCCAATAAACAATTGCTAGTCGACCCGAGCACACGTTACTAAGTGTATATTTCATCAATGAGAGAATGTCCATTTAGTTCCATATGTGGTTGAATCATTATGACACAATCTCGGTGATTGTTTCCTTCATCTATACCAGTCGCGTGGTGTTTTCGTACCGAATGACGTCAATGGCACGGCACACTCCACAAAGATGGTTCGCTCGGTTAGCTACTATTATTAGCTCCAGTGAATACGGCTAGCTACTATAATTAGGCTTCTATTATTAAGCTCTGAAGCCAATGGATGCTACCATTAGTCGATTACACCACCCACAAACCCATAGTAAAGCTCGAATCACACACAATTACACGAAGTACTTCGCAGTGATGGAGTTGGCTGTTGCACCCTCGGAGTCCCTGGTTGCCTGGTCAATTTGTTCGTTTGCAGCACTACCGTAAACAAAACACGCACTACCGAATCCGGGTTGCAGGGGTGTATAAAATGGCCTCAACTATGGCTATCACAAGGGATGCGGGGGAACGTACCTCGTATTCTCTTGCATTTGCACGTGGAGCCCACACACGGTTGCTTCGAAAAAGCCGTGTGCTCCTCGACACGACCCTAGTTCGGCTACAATTACACTCAGCTCTTACAATTCTCGAGTAGAAAGTTTTTTTTTATCAGGTTGATGGTATCTTGTTCGTTATTTTGGTATCTATCATTATACATCACATGAGCATAGACAACAACAAAAGCACCCAGCTGTAGGCAAGAGAGTTGCCTCCCGATTGGTCCTGAGTGTGCAACGTTGTGGTCTTCGTCGGTGCCGTTGGGGTGGCGGTGCCGCTACCTCTGCCAGTAGCTATCGAGTCAGTGTTAGCTCCCGCACCGAATAACCCACCAAAAATATTGCTATTTGACGTGGTGGTGGCCTCGTTGTTGTCACTTCCGGACGTGCTGGCCAGGTCAGAGCCACTGGACTCAGACGAAGCCGAGTCAGACGTTTCGGAAGCGGAATCTGAGCCCGAGGCAGAACTGCTATCAATCGATGTACTGCGGTCAGCCACACTAGAGTGGCGGGCGGCTGCTGCTGCACTGGAGTTGGTGTGGTTGGAGGCAGTACGGTTTTGCCCAAACACATCCGACACTGGCGGCGCCTGCTTGCCCTTCAGCTTGAGGTAGGCAGCAAAATCAGAGTCGTAGACAGCGTCGACAGCCCCACCGTTCCAGCAGTAGCGGTCAAAGCACTTCTTACACTCGTCGCTTTGCTCCTTGTTCTGTCTCTCTTCCGACCGGCGGACAATGGCACACGCCACACACTTTTTCCAGTCCTTATCGGTGGTGCCGTTACCTTGAGACGACACTTCAAACCCGTTTTGGATCATGGAGTACTTCTCCTTAGGACTGTAGTACATCTTGTACGTCAGCTCGTTCGAGTGGTAGCTGTACTCGTGGTTGGGAATGTGCACCACCAAGGGGATATCGGTATTCTTCATATCCTTAACGTCATGGTACCCAATCAAGTCGTCGAGAGCAGAAGCATTACACCCAAAGAACACGGGCTTTGTGCCCAATTCTTCGTCAAGGAACACTTTAACGGGGGGAGCGTAGGGGAAGGGAGAACCTTTGCCTTGAGGGTTGAATTGTCTTTGGAAAGTAGAGGCAATCGAGGTACCGTTAGGCCACAGCTGCTTGGTATCAGCAGAGTTGTCGTAAGCTAAAATCACGTCGACTTTGCGGTACGGTTGAATAAGCGGGTAGAAGGGAATATTCTGGTTGTCTTCGCCACCATCAACCAAGTATAACGTCTCGTTATTGGAGACTCTCAGCGAGTTGGCCTGGTCCAAATTGTAGAACGGGTTCGGTCTGTAGTTAGCCACATCGATATCACCCAATTTCAACTTGTTTAAGATCTTGGTGGTGACCGTCTTAAGTGCTTGCGGCAAGTTCAGTTGCAATGCCTTCACCAACGCCTGGTTGAAAAGCGACGACAGCGTGCCCATAATGAAACCACCATTGTCAAACTTAACCACACACTTGTTCGAGTCGACGGGTTTCCCGTTCGACATCTGTGTCCCCAAGTACTTGACGTCAATCATGTGGCCTAAGGTGTGGTCCCAAGTACCCATTTCGTAAGGGTTGAATTCGAACACAGTCAGGTTTTCGTTGATAATGATGGAACCAGGGGTTCTACCATTGGCGACGACAATGGGGAACGGCATCTGGTGGTTGGTGAACAGTTCCATGTCGCGGATATCCAGCCACGACACATTCTCCCCTTCTCGTGTGTCTTCCGGGTAGAACTGGTACGATAAGGCACGGCCCCACAAGTCAGTGATCGAGGTATCGAAGCCGGCTTCATCCTTAGCATCCAACGCAGTCCCCATCTGAGTGTACGTCTTGACAATTTCAATGACATTAAACCCGCCTTGGTTGAAAATAGTTTCTTCCAAGTTCCATACATCTGAGTGGCCCAGCCAGATATCACCCACCAGCAAACCATCGTTCAATGAGACAGTACCCACAAGCCAGTTACCACCAGAAAGACCCACAAGGTAGGTAGAACCCTGGAGGATGCCCCCAAGTCCTTTAGATTTGGAGTCATTGAATGAGTCGTCAAGAGCCAAAAGTTGACCAGCACCAGCAAGCATGGCGCGGTAACCACCACCAGAAAAGGCAAGCCCCACACTCAAATTGCGGTCTTTTTGCTCCACTAACTCCTTGGCGTTGTCGATACCGGCACCTTCTAAGAACTCGATAAGTTTGGGGTTGGTCTTTTCCTGTCTCTGAGCAATCCACTGCTTTTCATCATCACCGATTTTATCGGCTTTTCTGACAATATCCTGTTGGGGACACTGGGTGTAGTAAGGTTGATAAGGTTTTGATTGAGTACTCAGAATCTCTCCCGCCGTGAACAACACGTTCAGCGAGAAGCTCTGTTTCAAGTCAGAAGCACTGACGCCCGAGCTGACGGAGTTGGCATTGGTCGGATCAATCGCCAGTGTCGCTTCCCCTTCCACAGAAAGCGTCTCCTCAGACGATGACAGCTGCTTGTTGCCACCACCAAATAAACCTCCGAAAAAACCGGCAATCCCTCCTTCAGATGAGCTGGAAGAAGAAGCATTTGATGTGGTTTGGGAAGCATTATTGTCATTGTTGCCACTATCACTGGTCTGGGAAGCGTTATTATCGTTATTGCCGTTATCACTGGTTTGCGAGGCATTATTGTCATTGTTGTTGTTGCCGTTATCACTCGTCTGGGACGCTTGATTATTGTCATTGTTGGTAGAACTGGAAGAGGAGCCTCCGAAAAGCCAGTCAAAGAGAGCTCTCTCCTGGAACTGGTGTTGTGGCACCGCATTCGGCACGTCCCTCGCCACGGGGACGGGAGCCACGGCGGCGGCGCTGAGGGCCGCCATTGTTAATAGCCCCAACTTCATTGTCTGCAATCTCCTCGCGAGTGTCTGCTTAAAATGTCAGGGCTAAATTTCAACGTCTATATAGCCCTGATGGGGCCTAAAGCAACTGTCACCTCTACTTCCCAATCGGGTAAATGAAACTGTCACCTAGCCGTCCCTCTCAGGTACGGCGATAATGACTGATTAGACGTATTTGAACCAACAGAACTAGAATATTTGATGTTAGTATCATAAAATTTATGTCTCTATCGTCAACATCCACTAAACTCTATGGTACAATACGGGGTCACTCGTAGCGCTATTATTGCCTCGACACCGAGATGGCAGGGAGATCGATGAGCTCGATTGGAAAATAAGCCTCTGTGCATGAGAAGTGTCATTTCCTGGGGTAAGGGAAGTGGCTGAAAATCTAGCCGAGCCCTGTGCCCCCTGAAGGCTTGGGGATAATCAGTAATCACACGATAACAAAGAGAGAAAATACTACAAGAGGTTTCTATTAGATTACATGGTCTACATTATCATTCTAGCCCTTCTATTTCTCCATGTTCGCCCCCACTGTATAGTTGCTGGGCCACGATTGCTGCGGCAGGTATTTCCCAATCNAAAAAAAAAAAAAAAAAAAAAAAAACGGCTACGGGACAATAGGCGACGATGCCGATAATGCGCTTGAGCCCTTATTGTTTTCGCCTATCGCTAGTACGTATAATTCGGAGCGGCTAAGTACAGTGACAAATATTTCAAGTTGATGAAGTGTACAATTTTAGAGCTTAGGAGTAGCGACTTTACTATAGATTGTGTTTGTATGGATTTTCATGGCCAGTTCATGTCGTATCGTACACTTTGAGTCGTATAATTACGAAACAGGTGGACGTAAATGGAGCGTAAAATTCTAATTACCCCGATTTTCGATGGAATAATGCTTTCAGTTGATCTATAACTCAACTTGGAAGGAGGTGGGTGATGTGATACAGTCTACGTTACAATGTTATCGATGGGGTAAATGTTACAATTACTAGCGTCCATTTTAGTGGTGCTTATTGCTTAGTGGCGACACCCTTGATCAAAATAGGGATCATGCCACCGGTGGAAATGACAAATTCCCGGTGGTGGGTCACAGTGATGAATGACCGGATCGTCATGGCGTGAGTGGTGGTCAGGATCACCTGGCTCGCCAATCTATCGGATTTGCCATCGTCCGCGTCAAATAACTTTTGCAACCACTGGTTAATTCTCACACTTTGCTCGGCGAGGTTTTCCCGGTAGTTTTCGGTATACAACTCGTCTTCCTCAGTGACATTAGGGTCAATGGTAAAGTTAGGGAACCGGTCATGAATCACTGATTTCAGCGACCGCTTATCACAAAAATTAACACCAATAGTTTCCCGTAAAAGCTCATCAATCACTACGGGAGTATTGGGGTCTAGAAGCCCTTGCCATGTTAACGAGAACGTCTGGCACAGTCTCTGTAACGGACTAACAAAGAATCTCTGCGGTACCGGAGCACCTTCACCAAGCTGTTTTTGCCACAGATCATGATTCTCTTTCGCCTGAGCTTCACCTTTAGGCGTTAATTGGGGGTCAGGCGCCCACGTGATGTCTCCGTCTGTCCCCAAAGCGTGCCATTTCTCGTGCCAGGCGTCGAGGCCATACTTCTCCACCACCACGTTATGGTACCCCTGGCCGTGACGAGCACAAAACACTAATTTATACAGCTCGTTCTCCGCGGCTTGTTCGTTTAATTGCGTGAGTTCTCGAACGATCTGGTCCCACGGCTTTAGCCGGCCAAAGTTTGAGATATAATTGAAGTGGAGATCATCGGTATCCTTTTCGTCCTGTTCAAAGAAGCCAGGTACGGCTCGGAACGTCCACTTGTAGCCGAGTTTAGGCTCTAACTTGCGGTAGGCCTCGACGAGATCCAAATGGTCGTGGGCGTCACGCCAGTCGGCCTGGGTGGGAATAAGCAACGACGGCGGCTGTTGTTCCAGGGCCATTGAGAGTGTATGGGGTTTGCTAAGTGAGGCTGGCGTGGTAGGGTGTTATATAGCATCGCCTCTAGGTTACGATGACGTCATTGCCATAATAATGGCTCACACTAACAAAGTAGAACATACAGGCGGGCCGGACTTCAGGGTGCCGCGCGCCTCTCTCTGTTTTTAGTAAGGCGCCTCAGGCCCACATGGCTACCACAGACAAAGATATTAGTCATCGAACACATCGTTAGGACCAACTGAGAAATGAATGGTTTGGTAATGGTTTACGAGGACGCGTGAGCAAGTAAGGTGAGCTTGATCCTCGAGTACTCAAATGTAGTTGGACTCAGACCTCTAAGTGAAATTGCGAGAATTATTCCGAGCTCCCGTGCCGATACGAACACTACATCAAAATAACCCAAATTTTGGTGATGGTGAAATGAAAGGTGTCAGCTTTGATAAGGCTCAACTTAACAATAGCTTTTATCCATTATATACCGGGGGATAGGCAATCAACAATAGTACGGCTACGCGTGATGTTACGTATCGTTTATGCTGACTGTCTAAAGTCATAATACACTAATATACAGAGGGTCGTCAGGTCTTGCGCAGACTTTTGAAGTCTGGTTTGAAGTCGGGCCGCTTCTGCGACGACGGCCGCTTGAGCTTGAACTTGGCCACCAACGGGATGTGATCGGAGGGGAAGTCGCTGTTGGGGAAGCCTATGCACCGCAGCACGTAGTCCTCGTCGACTTTGCCCAAGAGTCCTTCCACTTGGAGGGTGGGGGTCAGGTACCAGATGTAGTCGATGACATCGGTGAAACCGGGACTGAAATTGGTAAACGGCAACTCGCCAATGCACCCATAGGCCAGCTTGAGCTTGAACGGATGGCGGAACCCTTCCTCGGTGAACTTGCCGTAGTCCCGCCCGTCCAAGTCCTCGTGCTTGGTGACGCCGCCGGTACTGAAGAGCTGGTACACCGCCAGGTCGCGCACCGAGTTGAAGTCGCCACACACGATCACCGGAGCCGTGCGGATGTCGTCGCTGTGGGAGAACTTCTTCAAAATCCCTTGTAACTCTTCGAGCAACACCCCGACTTGCAACGCCTTGACGTCGTTGAACGCCGGGTCCCAGTGCAAGTGGGTGTTGACCACGACAAGCTTTTCCCCCAGGGGCTCGTGCTGCAACTGGGTTATGAGGGCGATGTTGTCCTTGTTCATGAACCGGTTGAACAAGTCCTTAGTCTTCTTGTACTTCTCCAGCCCCATGCACACCAGGTTGTACTCAAAGTTCTGCTTCGAGAGCAACGAGAACTTAGAGGTGCGGAAAAACGTGGCGCAGCCGTCAACCTTTTTCGAATCCTGTTCACTCATGGTCTTCAGCCGCGTCTTGTTGAAAAACACCCCCAGGTAGCCCAAGTCGCGCATCAACGGCACCCAGAACTCGGTGTAGGTGCGAGCCTCGACTTCTTGCATGCACAACAAGTCCAGCCCCAACCGCAACACCTCTTCCTTAAGCTGGTTGCGGCGGAACTCCCAGTTGAGCGCCCACAGCGGCGTGTACTTGTACATCTTGGGCGTGGCGTAGTGCTGGCACAACGTGTTGTACAGCGTCATCGTGAACGTGTCGGGGCTCTCCAGCGACGGCTCGCCCTGGTATTTGGTCGGGGCCGACAGCGGGTCCACAACTTCCTCGTCCTCAAGCACGTACCACTGCCGCGGCGTCGGCGGGCCGAAGTTGGGCCGTTGATCACGCAAAAACTGTATCAAGTCCTTGGTGCCGTGTTCGGCGAGGATATTGGCGAACTTGGGGTCTAAGGGGTTGCCTTCCACCCCTAAGAATAAAAGTTCGATTAAGTTACCAAACTCGTTAGGTAATGTCTTGATCTGGTTATCAAAAAGGTACAAGTACCGCAAATTAAAGCACAACCCCAACTCAGGAGGCACTTCCGTCAACCGGTTATGCGAGAGGTCAAGCACCCGTAAGCTTTTAAGCTTCTTAATCGCCGCGGGCACCACCGTCAACTTATTGTTATTCAAGTATAACAGCTCCAAGAAGTTATAGTGGAACAACTTCGGCAGCAAATTGACCAAACCCTGGCCACTGAGGTCAAGCTGACACCATAACTGGGGCCCGTCGTTCTTTTGTCGCATTCGCTGCTCCTCATCGGCCTCCACCAGCTTCTTATGTTGTAAAAGCGCCGCCGGCGCCAGCAGGACATTACTGGCGTCGTCCTGCTCGTCCAACGCGTTCACCGCCAGCTTGGTGGCGTCGACAAGCAGCACCAGTTTATCCTGGTAAGGGTTATTCTTTTTCCTTGAGTTCAGGGCGAACTGGCGGGCGTAGTAGTGGGGGATGTTGTTGTTGCGCGAGATGTTGGCCAACTGCTGCTGGTGCTGCCAATACACCAGCTGGGGGTTGTCGACAGTGATCCGGTAGAACAGGGGCGGGCGCATTTGCTGTTGCAGTTGCTGGGTTTGAGGTTGTTGTTGTTGCATGGGCATAAACTGCTGTTGCGGGCGCTGCTGGACTCCCGGCGGCTGCTGGGGACCCTGGTAGACATCGTACTCCCCTCCCTGGCCCTGTAGCTGCTGGAGAAGTATCTGCTGGGCCTGTAGCGTCGGCGTAGGCCCATACTTGGTGTTGAGGTTCATAGAGAGGCGTGGATGGGTTGCCGTAGGAATTTTTCGCGCGCTGGCGGTTGCCCCGTTGGTGGCCCTGGGCCGATCCCTAAGCGCTACCAGGGGGCCCCAGATAGCGATTAAACAGGGCAATAATCCCGTTATCTAACAGCTAAGCCTTGACCGATAAGACGAGAAAGAGAGATTGACGTTGTTAGTGAATGGCTAAGGTTGTCGTGGGGGACGCGGTGGCGATACGTGGCGACGCGCGGGACGTGATCACAGACAATCGCGGGGCGAGTCACGATAGTTTAGCGATGCAAGCGGATGTTTACTAAAGCCGATAAATGAAACACAAAAAGGAAACAGAAAATTAACTACAATGAAGAATTGGTATAATTAACTAGTAATGTGCTATCAATTCTACAAAGTTCTAGGCCGGTGTTGTCTCACCCTGTTAGCGTAGGATCCGCGGTGGCGACGCATCGTTCCTTACTACGCGTAAATGGCAACGTGACATTGTGCAGGGAAATAGGTAGTACTATTTTAAGCACCGCTAGTCTTCTATGAAAAGGAATTATAATTGTGCTTTGAGATTAATTACTGATGATATTGATAATGGGTTGAGTCACGTGAGTCAGTAGTTCAATCAAATGAGGGTATCATATAAACTCGTAAATATTACCAGTCGATGAGACGACTAATGTCACCTCTCAGGCTTAGTAGCTTCAACTTACGGGCTTCGGTTCGTGGTTGCTTCAAAAGCTTTCGGTTGACACCACGACAGGTACTCAGTAAAGGACATATGTCACAATTAGCAGCCACGGGTAAACACACCGTTTGGCCAAACCCTACCACCAATGGGTTGATTTGTTTCCAATAAGCTTCAGGAATCACTTGTTCAAGTTGTTGTCTCGTGGCTTCAGGAGTTTTCAGTGAAACCCAGCCTAATAAGTTAGCAATACGATGAAGATGAACATCAACACCAATACCACTAGAAATGTCCCAGCCTGCTTGTAAGAGAAGATAACCCATTTTCGGTCCCACGCCAGGTAATTTAACAATCTCCTCAATCAGTTTGGGGATATCCCCATTGTGTTCACTCCTCAAAATCTCTGCTGACCTCTTCAAGTAATTTGCCTTACGACGATGGAAACCCACTTTCCCTATGAGCGTATCGATCTCAGCTTCCAGCGCTTCAAGGATCGATTCAAGACAAAGCCCCCGAGGGAAGTGTTGGTGCATTGTTGCCACTGCAGCGTGAGTCACTTCATCTTTAGTTTGCGATGATAACATGAGCAGCACTAATAGTTGGAACCGGAACATTTTGGGAGCCAGCGTAGGGTCGACCGTATACGGGATCCGCTCACACCCCATCGTATCCACGGGAGCAACGATCTGATTGCGTACACTGACGATTTTGTTATATTGGTCAATAAGCTTTGGCGAGCATGTTTCAGTGGTTTTCATCGAATCAAACAGGGGGAAACTGGTAGAAGAAGTAGTGGTGAAGTCTTCTTTCACTGGGGGTTCCTGTTTAACCGTGGACTCGTCTTTAACCATAGATTCTTGCTTAATTGGTATAGTATCATTAGTCTCTTGTTTCGCTTCAAATTGATCCGTGATCTCTTGTTTGATAACTGAAACATTATCAAACTCTTGTTTCACAGTTATCGGTTCACTTGTATTGGATATTTCTTCAGTTTTGATAGTAGTGGTCAGACGCGTATCATTAGACTCTTGTTTCACAGTAATGGGCTTGGCCGAGGTCTCATTTTCAGTACTAGCTCTCCTTATCCTTTTGGTAACAATAGTAGTGGTATTGGTAGCCGTGACTGCCCTCTTAGCGGTGGCTCGTGTCACTCTCATGTGGCTAGCCGTCGACAATGCCTTAATGCCATCTCTCGCGGTGATCGCTGCCGCTGATCCGATGGCACGCGCACTACCTTTGACTGCGCTGCGCAGTTGTCCTCATGTGACCCATGAGAAAAAATCTGTCTGTGGGGACGTTAGCGTCTTAGTGAGTCATACCCATGAGTCACCAACAAAACAAAGTACTAACAATTCTGATAATCTGAAGCAATAGCCGTTATCTCCATCCTTTCAATATCCTATCCTGTATTCTCGTAAAACCCTTTACACCCTTAGATTTGCCCCGGCATCTTCCTCGGCATTTGGCGCACGCGATCTCCACAATTCGTGGTGGTCGCCGGTTCCGCACCGTTTGCCCCGGACCTCATCCATCGCCCCCACCCCCGTTCACCCGCTACCAAAAATTTCAGCAACACTACCACTCCATCCAACATCAACTTCATCCAACAACCACCCAAAACATCATCTCAACTTGAAACAAGTCCTGAAACACAGTCTGAAACACAGTCTGAAACGCAGTCTGAAATCTTTCGATGAAGAAGCTTCTCACAAATAAGAAGACGATCTCGCTGGGCCCCCTGCTGAGAGTGGCCCAGGCGTGTGACCGGTGTCGAGCCAAGAAGACCCGCTGCGACGGCCGCAACCCCTGTTCCCAGTGCGTTACCGTGGGACTAGAGTGTATCGTGCTGGATAAGCTCCTGCGACGAGCGTTCCCAAAAGGGTACACTGAAACCCTCGAAGAGAGAATCCGGCAACTCGAAGCGGAAAACAAAAAGCTAGCAGCGATGCTCGACGTCAGAGACGAACAACTTGAGCTCGCCACCCCCTCGGTCGATTTCGACCCGCTGCCCGCCCCTGAAGCGCAATTAACTAAAGATAACTTAGCCCAGCTCGACGACACGAGATGTCCCTGTGGCTGTGCCAATCCGCTAGCTCACGACCGACCCGTCCTGTTAGCTGGTTCCGTATACGACCAAGCGCCCTCTATAACTGGCCTGATTGCTGGGTCATTACACGACTTACAAGTGAGTGATGATGCTGATGATTTTGGTATTGCTCCGAGAGCATTCGCCGCCGCTACCGCCATCGCTAATATGAACCGGTACCATGAACTGAGCCAACAACAGAGGACAATGCAATTAACTCAGTTGGTCGCGATTCTGAGCCCACGTCTGACTGAAGAAACGCTATTTATTCCTCAGTTGCTTGCTCGTATTTGTCAACAATATGGCTACCTGCTGAAACCAGCAGTGTTGGCGGCTAATTGTCTTGCTCTGTTGAAACTTGCGCCACCTCCCAGAGCGCCCAAACAACACCCGCTGCCCCTCGTAATGAACCGAAATATCGTTAAATTGGACGATTTGGAAGCGGTACAGTTCATCTACGGACTTGATTTACCGCCTAAAGTGGAACTTGATCGTCTTACAACGTTGTACTTCCAACATTGGCACTTACCGATCGTTACTGAGGCGAAGTTTGGTCCTAATTACGCCGTGCTTACGCTGATCTTAGAGACTGGACGGTGTCCCACTTCATCCAGTGATGGCTATGATTCTATTGAGAAATTTGGTGCGCTTATGGTACTTGTGGTGGCATTAGCGCTGATGCTGACACGCACTAATTTAGCCAGTTTAAGCCATTATGATGACCTAATCAGAGAATTCATAAAGCCTAATTGTGTCGTCACGGCTCACTGTCTGATGCTGCTGCTCCAAGTGCTTGCCCTTGCTCTCCAGTACTTCTTGGTGGTGGGAGATATTGCTACCTGCTATGAGCTTAGAGGCCGAGTAATCACTATGGCTCAACAGTTGCGCCTCCACCGGTGTCCCGCTGCCGTATTGGGGATAACCGGTAGTGCTGGTGACGATATGCAAGCCGAGAGACGGATCTTGTTCTGGTGTGTCTACTGTCTCGATATCTACGCCTCCCTCAATTTGGGGGTTCCTCGCTTATTAAAGGACTTTGAAATTGAGTGTGCAATGCCATTTACCAATAACGATGAAGGCAATAACGTTAGTATCTTGGTGATTAACAATACCCGACTCCCCATCGTCGGGAAAGTGCTGAAATTGGCCCACGCGTTTATGCTGTACTGTAAAGTGTTGGGGACAATATTAGATGTCATTTTTTCTCGTGATGACCACGCCCATACTCAGGCTCACGCCGTCGAACGTGATCGTCTATTAGAAGGGTGGAGACGTGATTTGGCCCCAGAACTTAGGTTCAACGTTGATATTAATGGCTTTTCCGTAAAGGACTCAGGCCTGCTGCTGAATGCCGACCTGATCTGGCGTCAGTACCTGGTACCTCAACTCACGTTGATCTACGTCTACTTCCACGCGAAAATCCTCATCTACTTACCGATCCTCTCAAAGTATGGCGCTCATCATGACGTGGGGTTATCACAAAAGGAAAAGCTTACAAAGGGAGATGTGGGTGCTCACTCAGTACTGCTGCTGGGACTGATGGTACAACAACTGCTGATCCAAATATTGGAAGTGCTTAACCTGTTTGTCAAAAATGCCGAACTGCCATTACTCCCTTTACCGTTAAATATCGCTCAGGAACAAGCGAGATTCGCCCTTATCGTTGCCAAGGGGCTGCTTGATTATACTAAAGGAGGACCGTTATATGTCCACGCCAAACAGCTTTTATTGGATACGCTTTTAGGCCTTGCTGAGAGTCATAGTGGCGACTACGTATTGGGTAATTTGACTCGTGAAGCACTCAAATTGCTTGAATACGCTGTGCTCTCAATATTGGGGGTGAACATCGATAAACACAAAAAGCGACCGATTTCCGTCAAATCGTCCGCCGTAGCTGCCAGAGAAGCCAGCTACGATCCTGCATCGACGTCATCGGCGTCGTCGTCTCATACCACCCTGGTGGTGGTACCTCAAGCGTGTACCAATGGCATGGCCAATACGTCTAATCTGCTGCGTCCGTTCACTCCTGATTTCGATGACCTTGATGCCATCCTTGCGTTTGACCCGTATAATACGCTGAAGAACCCTCAATTCATTAAGAACGAGTTTGGTGCCGATGGCTCATTTGGGCTCGTTCCGGTATTAGATGACTGGACGGGGTTTGACACCTCCCACGGCATGTTCTCCCAAGAGTAAATGACAGATCGATCCATACTCATGAATTCCTCAACAATGAAGTTCAATCGGCATCAATTGAGAATAAGAAAAGTATGAACTTTCAGCGAACAGTGGAAGCATTCCAGCACCGTCCAGCTTTAACAATCAACATTAGATTTTGCTCTGACCCCATATATTAGAGGTTGTGGAAATGAATCAACAGACAGTGATTGCGCTAATAACTCGTAAATACATATGCAATGGTGGTTAACCTCCGAACATGATTTACAACGTCAACTGAATGTATACAATCTCCTCGGTAGTGTCGTCAATGTCGCTATTTACCCAATTATTTTGGAAAGTTGCATCACTGCAGCGTGTCATCCACCACTCAATGCCGAGGAAGAACCACACGTCTTTGCAAAGTGAATTGTTTGAATAGTACTAACCGCTGATTATAGTGTTTGATTGATGTTTGATGATGTAGTAAAGGTTCCGAGGTCGGCTCCGGTGCCATTATCTGGAATTTTTCCCCTCGTTTGTATCATCGCTTCGGAGGTTAATCATCGTGACAGCCTCGGACGCCCCCACATCTCGCATCCACTCCGAAGTGCGGCTCCGAAGCATATGAGAGAGGGGCTCGGCTCCGACATCAAGGCAACTATTTAAATTGCAACCACCAGACCTTATCACCTCCAATTGAATACCTAACAAGCCTATGTCGACGTTTTCCAAATCAGCGTACCTGGCGACGAAATACAGCCAGTTTCGCCCGCACTACCCGCCTCAGTTCTACCAGTTGTTATCGCAGTACATCGGCCATAAAGTGAATAAAGCCGTCGATATTGGTTGCGGCACGGGTGTATCGCTGTACCCTCTTCTTGAATTGAGTGACCGGGTGATCGGTACTGATTTGCTGGCGGTAATGGTGGAGAGAGCCAATACGATAAAACATGAAAAACTCTCCCCCAGTGATGCTGCCAGAATCTCGTTTCAAGTGGCTAATGTCAGTGACTGGAACGATAATAATGTTGATTTGATTACGGTGGCTCAGGCGATCCACTGGTTTGATACGGCTAAGTTCTTCCACCAAGCGTACCAAGCGTTGTCTCCGGGAGGAGTATTGGCTTATTATTACTATGTCGATCCCGTGATTAAAGGTGTGGCTAATGCTGATAAAGCTAACGCTTTATACCACCGCTACGTGTATGGTGAAGACACTATTGGTCCCCATTGGGAACAACCGGGACGGTCAATTTTGGCTAATATGTGTCGTGATGTTAACCAAGGTATTTCCCCTAAAGAGTTTACTAACGTTGAACAACACATCTATGAAGCTGAGGAAAGGGAACCTACGGATAAGGATATGGTGATGACTCGCGAGGGAGTGGTGGTGGATGACTTGTTCAACTATATCCGGACGTATCTGGGGTACCACAACTTTGAAGCGGAAACTGGTAAAGGGGAGGATGTGTTGAAACAATTTGCCGATGATTTAAACCAATTGGGGATCACGGATACGACCAAGTTTGACTTGGTGTGGAATACTGGTTACACTTTCATGACGAGAACCCAGTGACTAGTAAATGATGATTTATGATCTAAAGCAAGTGTAGATTAGGACCATAGTCAGCTATGGAAGTACGTGTACCTGTAGTCTCAAGATACTCTACTTCCAGATGTTGATGGTAAGCTACTAAAAAGTTACAATAGCTGACCTACCTATCAAACAAATAGAGACACTAGAACCGTTAAGAAAGAAAGATAAATCATATTCAATGGTCATAAGAATGGTCTATAATAAAATCAATGACATTATACCTTATTTGTATGATGGTACTGAGGCCTCTCTAAGACAACATTAAAAATAAGTGGCGATCACGAGTTTCAGACTAATTATCAATAAATCATTGTTTTAAAGGACCTATATTTAATATTTTACTCACTAACTCTCCTTCTTATTGTCACCTCCACCTCCTGGTTGCCCGCGCACCGGGTGGGAGTCGCGTTCAACGGTACCACCACCACCACCACAGCCATGTTGTTCACGGTGGCGTTGCGGGGGCTCGCGCTGGCGTTCTTGGTGTGGGTGTTGCTCACCACCAGTGTCCCGCAATTGCTTGCCCGGCAAGCGGACAACCCCGTCGGCACCGTCGCCGACTACCTGCTCCTGTCGAACGTGTTACACGACGCCAAAGTCGTGTACGTGATCGCCCACCCGGACGACGAAGTGATGTTTTTCCTGCCCCTGGTATTGGAGCTTGCTAAGCCTCAGCACCATAACCATCTTCTGATCGTGTGCTTCAGTGATGGCGACGCTGATGGTCTCGGCGCAATAAGAAGACAAGAGCTCGAGCGGCTGGCAAAGATGTTGGGCGTCGACGATGTGGCGATCCTTGACTTTGTCGACGGCATGAACGTCACCTGGGACGCCGACGCCGTTGCCGATGCTTTAAAGCCGTTTGTTAGTCGCGATAGCGTCATCATCACCTTTGACGACCACGGGGTGCTGGGCCACCCCAACCACATCAGTTTGTACCACGGTGCCGTCAAGTTGGTCAAACGCACCAAGAACACGTTGTTCAAGCTCAAATCGCTCAATTTCATCGACAAGTACTCGTTTACCCTCATAACGCTGGTGGAGCTATTTGTCAACTATGTCACTCGCCTAGTGCACCAGGTGTTTGGCATCAACATCAACATCCTGTTCTACCCGTCGCTGAGTGGGGAGATGAGATTCTATAGCGACATCAACGCCGTCGCCGCCGCCTACGGGGCGATGATGTACGGCCACTACTCGCAGATGGTGTGGTTCCGCTACGGGTGGCTTCTCTTCAGCCGCTACCTCACCTACAACCACTTAATCCAAGTGGTGTGACGTGTGTATTATATTACTACTATTACAATTATATTTTAGGTCAAGTTCTTAAACCCAAACTGTTTCTGGCACCAGTTCAGCCCGTGCTCAAAGTACTCCTTTTTCAGAATCAGCACTTTATCGAGGACATCGCTATCGGCTAAGTTAGCTCCACCAACCCACGCTACTTCCTCACGACCAGTATCTTCGACGTCCCTAAACTGTAGGTGCCATTGTTGGGGTAATTCCTTCTCGAGCTCAGCTTTCAACCGAGCATCAAACCCGGGGAATTTTGTCAGACCACCGACAATACAGATATTGGCCACAAGCATTGGCCTGGTGACTTTAGGCAGAGCCATTACTGCTTCGACAATTAAATCAGCGAGGTTTTTAAACGGGGTTTGTTGGAGTAGAGCCAGGTGAGCCGTAGCTCGGTGGTTATCGAATATTATCTCTGGGTGGTAGTACAGTTCCGGTACGGTGAATCGTTCGTCGTAAAGCTTTAAGATTTGGGTATCAGCGGTGATTTTCGTCTTGGGAGTACGGACATAGCCGGTAGTGGTCGTTTTAAAATCAGGGAGGATAAATTCACACTCGTATTTCAGTTTGTTCTTTAGGTAGTCCTGGAATTTACCTTCAGGAGCGATAAAACATGTTTGCTCTTTGATGGTATTGACAAGCACTGGTTCCTCACTGACGTCATAGTGGCGGAAACTGATTGTTTCAGCTAGTAATCCCGCTAATAGCTTACCCCCCACCGGTAATTTGCGTACCCCTTCCCAGTGGACACTTTGGTAGATCATCGGCACCACCCAGGTGGCGTCGTGGCCACTATCCACCACTAAGTAGAAATCGTTTGCTTCAGCTACCCACGGCACCAAAAGCGGTGGGATACACCGGAAATACTCATTAAACCCATACTCTTCAAATACAATCTGGTCGGTATTGATTGAGAGCTGTGGAAGTTGAAACGGTGGCTCCGTCAATATAAGGTGTGTTTGCGACGGATCAACGCCCTTTTTATCAGCACCACCAAGCTTCTGTAATGTATAATCCCAAACTGGTTTCTCCGTCTCCCACAGCGTCAAATGGCCTTGAGAAAACGGTCGTTTAAGCATGATTCCCAGGTAGTTATTATTATTGGTAAGGAAGTCATTACCCACATAGATGACACCGTCACGGGTTTTGGCCACGGTGTTTTGCACTTTGAGAGGGGTATCGGCACTCAGAAACCCCGCCTTGATCTCATACAGCCCGTTGTCGATGATCAAGTGCTGCATGGTGATGGCCCGACCAGAGTGAATTAGCGAATGTTAACCAGACCAATGGATGCAGGAATGAATGGTGGTGTCGAATAGACCAATGGAGGTAGTAATAGATGCCACACGTAGTCCGGTACGTGGATGGAAAGTGATGCTGTTTTCTGGCAAGGAATATCGGTCGCGAGTCGCGTTTACTCGAGGCTCCACACTGTCATAAACAATGTCACCAATTACTCACAAAAAAAGCATGTAACAGATAATCAAGCTGTATATAGATGATGTTCGACTATTGGTGTTGTATACGTTTAAATTTCGTGACTTTTAATTGGTTTTCTTTGTCGAATTCATCACCCTCCACTGTCCCTTTTTGTGGTGGTTGCCGCACTCATCGCGCCAGGTATGGTCCGGGTCAAGAGCCGCTACGTGCTCTTTGAGATCCTCTTCCCGCTTGACCGAGCCACCGATGACTATGGCGACTATGAAGAACTGCTTACTCGCTTGCACAAGACGTCGCCGCTGACTTTCACCGCGAAACAGCTTGCCCGTCAGATTAAACAGCTGGTGCAAGACCACTACGGAGACTACGGTGGCGGCAGTACTGCCAATCTCCAGGTGAAATATTTCAGCAATAAGACGAGTACGGGTATTGTTAAGGTTGGGCGAGACCATTTCGAGATGGTGGTGGCGGCGCTAGCGTTGATTGACCGCTTGGATTCGATCCCGGTGATTGTGCGGTGTCTCCACGTGCTGGGCACCGTCCGTAAGTGTCAGGAGTGGGTGATGGAACGTAACCTGACGGTGGTATCTTCAGTTAATCTGTCACTGGCCCTATTGGATCGAAAGCTCGCTCAATTGGCGGGATAACTCCAGGACTACAATCTCTGACCCAATGAGGCACTGAGATCACCAAATAATGTAATGACTTACGAACCAGACGACGTGGCGGAGTACCTCTTGAAAACGAAGCAACTGTCATGTACATATGTGAGCGACAATGGCTAATGAATGCCATACTACTCTACGAACATACTCAAATACAACGATATTCCTCGGGAAATCGATGCACTGATGTAACTGCTACCCCAGAATATGACGAAGATTAATCCTTAATTCTAAAATAAGCCACAGCCAGCCATCATTCGTACTCATCGCAGTGAGCATCGATCAAGGCTCGCTTTGTGGTGGATCTTAAAATACGATAAAACAACGATAAAAAACTCTGGGAAAAAGATATGTTGATAAACTAGGTTCGCTGATTATTTTGATACCCTAAAGAACTTAAAAACTCGTTGCCCCCCCTTTCAATAGACAGTTTCAAGCGACCGAGGATGAAGTCATACTCACATTCCATAATTGGTGGTAGCTAGTGGGGTCACGTCTGCTATTCCTATTCTTAGACTCTATAGTCTTTGACTCGTCAAATTCACTCAAAATCGTATATTAGCATTACTCATTATTAGTCTCATTAGTCGACGGTGTGGAGCCATTTGGTGCAAAACTCGGTCAAATTATCGGCAAACACGTCCAACGCCGGTCTTTCATTAACAGTTTCATTATCAAATTCGGGGTAGTAGCAGAAGGTGACGTTGAGCCCCCCACGCAGAGTGCTCATGACATTAGCGCAAGTATTATAGGTTGCTCCCGTACACGAAACAAAGAACGCATCGAGCACCCTGTAGTGATTATGCTGTTCCTTGACACGTCCCAAGTTGGATACGGTGACCAGCTTTTTCGGTGCCTTCCAGCGGGTTTCAAATAATTGGTCAAGATCGACTTCTCGAACAAGCCCCGTGAGCCGGAAGGGCTTGCGGGAATCAATCCCTTGCCACATTTCTTGATTAACGTAGCCAATGGCTCCGTAAGCATCAGTTATCGGAGCTAAGCCGATATCCTGGCCACAGACAAACCCGCCTTTGATTTCCATATCGGGGTAGTAACGACGGCCTTGTAACGCAATATAGGCCAGCATACTACACCCTAATTGCGAGTGGAATAACGACGATTGCATCGCTTGACAAATGCCCACGGTTAAAAAGGGAGTAAGAGTTACTCCCTGGTTGCGACACCAGGTGAGCATATCCTCCGTTTGTGCCGGCAGAAAATTGATATTGCGGACTTTTGTAGCCGTCTTGGGTTCCCATTTGTGGTTAGGATTATAGTAAACCGGAGAATTAGCCGCATAGGGGGAGGGTGACCCCTTTAACCATTGAGTGAGTGTGTGCCATAACCAGTGTAACCAGTGGCGAATGGAGGCGGGGAGGTACTGGCGACACCATTCAGCCACGTAGAACTCGATCCATTCAGTGGTAGTCGGGTCATACAAGTTGGTGAGGCATTCTCTCGGGGGAGGGATTTCTCCATCGGCAAACGTCCCGTCCTTACCGTAGTGGTAGACAAGGTCTAAATTGCACAGACAGTTTGATTCGCCGGCTAACTGTTCGAGCAACTCGTCCATAAACACTGCGCCCAGCCCCCCGTCGAATACCAGGTGGCAGAACACCCCCAGGATCCACGTGCGGCGGGTTTTATCGGTAAACACGTGGATACGCCAGAGCGGCTGGTGCTTGTTCATGCCAATAACAATATCATTCAATTGTTGGAGTACCGCGTCGGTAAACTCGTCGACTTCGTGGAAAATGACGTTGTCGCTGAAAGTGATCTTATCGACCACCAGCACCCGCCAGTCGCCATTGTGGGGGTTTTGGGGGTTGTCGTTGAAGAATTGGAGCGTGTACCACGGCTGTTGTTTCACCAAATGGAGCAATCCGTGGAATAGGTCCTGTTTGCCAATCTCACGGTCCACCTCGTACGTGACCAGAAAATTGGTATAGAAGCCTAGTTGCACCCGGTAGATGTAGTAGCGCTCGAGCCATTGCGGCTGGCGCAGCGGCGGCGTCGCCGGAGGGGTCTGGGGCCGCTGGCCTCGGCGTCGCTTCGACGCCGTCATTCGCAGGAACAAGTACGGTAGTAGCCGTACCCCCCACCCGATATTAGTAGTGGGGTTATGAGAATCACTCAGGTGACCCGTCATTTATAGTACTAGGAAACTTAGAGACTAGAAGAGGTTTCAGGCAGGAATTGGGGTATTTATTTATACGCCATGTACACCGATGTACGATGAGATGTTTGAGTAACTGCAATGACTCATTGATGGGCGCGGTCTCGCGGCTGGTCTATGGCTTTGACCCCCCTCCCTAATTGCCCCGCGTTCATCCCCAGTCCGAGTCTCTCCCCGGTCCGAATACAGTAAGCCATATTGTAGATGTATTTTAGGCGAATTGTTTGTTGATGGGAAGGATTAACTGGGGAGGACAATGGGTAATTGATGCCATGCACTCATACGCATCCCCCGGAGGTGACCACGGCGGTCTGCTTGACTGCACTTCATCGGGGTCTAGTTGAAGTTGGGATAGATGAATGGTACTAATGTTCGCTAGTCTAGGGCAATTTGGTGAATGTTTATCAATACTCCGTTGTTTCTCGCAATAATTCTCGCAATTGATACTTTGACCTCTCTCGCTCCACCGCGCGGTACAATTGTTTACGTCTATACACGAACTTATTCCTCTAAACGGGGCTGAAATTGAGTCCCCAATCCTTTACGTGGTATTACATTTGCAATACTTCCAGTTGGTATCGTTCCCCGGACGTGATTTGTTGGCATTTGTGGGCGTTTGTTTTGTCGAGAACTATACACTACTTACCCACAAATAAGTTTGTTGGTATAACCTAAGTTGCTGTTGTTGATGTTGCCGTTGCCCCATTGCCATCGTGAACCTCCTACTCTGTGTCTGACAGTTCCGTATCAACGAAGAAGTTGATGAATGACTCCTCTGGTTCACGGAGGGCCTCCTGTGGTTCACGGAGGGACTCCTGTGGTCCATGGAAAGACTCCTGTGGTTCACGAAAGGCACCAAAGGCAGCGTCAGCTCCAAGAGCTCCAAATGCAGCGTCAATCCCAAGAGCTTCAACCAACCTTATATTGTTGGCGTTGGCGATCCTCTCAGCGATGAAATCTCTCAGTCTGAACCTTTGTGGTTGATTCAAAGCCATCCGACCCGCTCCTGTAGCTGGGTTTTGCCGCCAAAGTCTGAGAGAATCCTCAAACTGCTTCTGTTGAAATTGCTGGTACGTGCCAAACTTCATTGGCATGAGAGGCAACGGTGGCTCCGAAGTTTCTCCGGCTTGATAGTTCAAGATAGTGAAATCTGGGTTGATTATCAACGGTGGCTTCTCATCTTTCGCTTTTGGCTTCTTCTTCTTCTTCTTCTTCTTTTTCTTTTTCTTCGGCTTGGGAGCGGCGGGGACATCATCCTTCAGTTTGGCTTCTTCCTCAGTTTTGGCGTCATCAGCATCAACTGTGTCTTGTGGCTTGGTCTCAGTGGTGTTTCCCGGCTTGGCCTCAATCTGTGGTTTGGCATCAGTCATGGCCTGGACATCATCCTGTGGGTTGTCATCGGTCGTTTCCTGGTTGTCGTCCTGTCGCTTGAGCAGAGGTTTACCCGAAACGTCACCTTGTGCCTTGTCTTTCGCCAGTGTCTTAGCCTGAGACTTACGCTTGGTTTTAGCCTTCGGCTTAGCGTAAGGGTCAAACGGTTTCTTCAAGAGCGGCTTGGATTTGGAAACCTTCTTGGCATCGACCTTATTGGCAGGTTCAGCAGGTCCTCTGGTCGCTTCATTGCCAACCTCAAGGTTAGGCTTGTTAGCCTCGGTGACAATGCCAACTTCAGGATCGGGTTCAGTCTTCAAAGACGGCGGGTTGGGCTTGTCAGGACTGTTGCCAGGCTCGTCAATCTCCGAGTCACGCTTATCAGCTTCGGCGAGCTTGTCGGTTTCAGGATTTGGCTCTTCTGCGTCAGGCGACCCAATTTCAGGAGAAGGCATCTCAGACACGGTTACGCTGCTAACGTCAGGGGTATCGGCCTTGACCGCAGCCCCAAGCTCAGGCGATTTGGCCTTGACAATGTTTTCTTTCGCATCTGGCGGAACATCAAAAGAGATACCAAGCCCTGGAGTACCAACCATCGGGCTCACCGGTGGGGCAGCAGGAACTACAGCGGAAGTAGGTGCGGGAGCATAGAGGTCCAGCTCCGACGTATCGCTGTAAACATCAAGTTGTACGTTAGGCTCAACGCCACTCACCACTTCGTCCTCAACGTCAGGTTGAGGCTCCATTTCGGGCTCCGCGTCAGTTTCAACTTTGGTGTCTTCGTCAGGCTCAGCTTCGGGACTGAATGCGGTTCTCACTTGGTCTAAAATGGGTTTGGTTTCGTCCAAATGGCGCTTTGATTCATCAAGTTTATCCTTGGCCGTCTCCAATTGCTCAACACGAGCAGCAATTTGACCCAATAACCGGTTAAGTTCATGTTCTTTGGCCTCTACTTCGGCTTCAAGACTCATGCGAACGGCGTCGGTGTCCTTCAATTGCGAGATACTGTCGTCAAGTTTATTATTTGACTCCTTTATGGCCAAATCAAGCGCAAACAATTGAAGCTTAGCTTCTTCAGTCAACTGTTGTGACTGTTGAACAACGTCTTCAATAGCAGCAATGCTTCCACGTTCAAATTCAAGCAATTCCGCCGCCGACTCAATTGCATTAGCATCCGTGCCTTCACGGTCGATGCCAGCCTTGGTTTCCTCGACCTCCTTGAGTTTTAATTGCTCGGTTTCCTCCTCCGATTGTCGCTTTACCCGTTGCAACCGGTTGTTTTCCTCGGTCATTTGGTTAATTTCGATGATGACCTGGTCGTTGAGGTTGCTCATTTCGTTGAACCGTTGTTGCAATTGAGTAAGAGACCCCCGCAATTGGTTATTCTCTTCGTTTAACCGAGCCACTTCTGGGTGTGGTTGGCCCACAGTGAGTTGCAATTTGTGAAACTTTTCCTCCAAGATGCCGTAGTCGGTGATTAACTGCTCGTTCTGCTGTTCAAACGCTGTCAACCGGCGGTGCAATTGGGCGTTGACGCCTTGGGATTGTTGCAAATCCGCGTGCAAGAGCTGGTTGTCGCTGTACAACCGGTGGTTGCGGGCCTGTTCTTCCTGGAGTGCTGTCTCGATACTGGCAATCACCACTCGCGATGTCTCCTCCTCGTCCTGGTTGGCATCATCAGTTTGAATAGCAATTTCTCGACTGCCCTGGGGTGATTCTGACTCACCTCCGTTAGGCTCAGGGGACTCTGGTTTGGCGTCAGTTTCGCCAACATCTTCCGGGTTGACCATATAGACAACAGCAGCGTCAAGTTGAGGGAGAGTGGGGTAAAATTTGTTGCCATTAGTGACAAATTTTGGTGGTTTGGGCAGAGCGTCGCAGACTAAAGTGGCGGTGTCGTCAGGCAGGCTGTTTTCCAGTGACAGTTCCAAGTGGTTTCGTTTCGCTGGTGGGCTTGGTGATGCGGTGTCGCTGTTGGTTAGCTTGGATTTGCTTCTTTTTCTGATCGCAGATCCCAAATCAGAAATTGTCATTCTCAATTCTTGAATCTCGAGTCTCAATTCAAGAGCAGTGGCAACATCATGTAATTGTCGCTCCAGAAGTGAAGCAATGACAGTATGGGAAGGCGAGGGGGAGTGGGGAAGTGTTGTCGGTGTGTGTTTGAAGCTGTTCCACAAGATGGACAATATGGCAAAGATGAGGACACCAGTGAACACTATGGGTACCGCTGCTGCTTGGCAATAAAGCCACACCGTTTGGGCCACGGAGACCACTAACCGCCACCCATAGATAAGCAGGTGGCCAATTTCAATGGCACTCACCACTACTATCACCCATACCAAACCAAGAAGGGCTAAGAATAGTTTGATTATGCACACCACCACAGCCGCCACTGCTTTGGAAACGTACCTTAACGGTTTCCAGATGAACTCGAGCAATTTCCAGACGTGGATTGCGAGAAACTCTTCGACCTGGTATACGAGGTCAAAGAACCACACGAAAGCAGCCGACCAATCGAAATTGATAAGCTGAGCAACCAATGCCAATAAGGCTACTAAAGCCCAGCACAAGTAATTGAAGAATACTAACTGGGCAATATTATGGATGGTTTGGTAAGGGAAATCATGGGTGGTGAGCACGCATGGATTATTATCGATTTGGCGGGATTCAAGCAGGAGCATGGTCACCGTGAAATAGATGATGATCAAGGCCGTGGTCACCATTGACGATATCAATGTCGCCCCATAAGCTCGTCTAATAAACGAAGATTGCGAAGTTTGAGGTATTTCAGGAGAAAGATTGTCAACTTCAACAGCGTTATCATTGGTGAGTGATTCTTGAGTCAATTGGCAAATGTGGTCCCAGAGGTACTCGGTGACGAACACGCAACAGATGGCGGTCACCAAATTGGCGAAGGACCGGTTGGCACTAAACGAGGCGAGGACGCTAATATAGATCGTCACGAGGACGGCATCAGGATTGGAAACAACGACTTCGATAGCCGTAAGTACGATGAGCCAGATGACGCAAGCTAGGCCTGCTTCCATCGGCGTGGGGAAGCCAAATAGCTTCATTGGCTGGTTCATGGTGGAAAGAACCTGTGGACGGAGAGGAGAATGCAATTGCAGCATGGTTGCGAATATTATCTTACCCCTGTGTCTGCAGCTACTTTGAAGAGTCGTAGTTTCGGGGAGGTATAGTGTTTGAGGTGGCGTAATTACAGGGTATAAGACGGTATTGATTTTTGATCGTGTTGGGGATCGTGTTTCTTCTGGCAAACTAAGCTAGCACTTTGGGCATCGTCAATCATCACTTATTTTAATTTTGTTTTTCGATTTCCCAACGTTTTGCAAATTTCTTTTACCTGTACTGGAGAAGGTACACCCTTCAATATGGTAATTATAATTTGGGGAGCAGGAAGAAGGTTAAAACTGGCATTCATTAAATTGAACTTTGCATCATAGTTAACAGCAGTATGTATTTAATCCATTCATTTTGTTTATTTGAATTCATTAACTGAACGTTTTGTTTAGGGAAGAACTTTTTGCAATTTCGCATAATTTCACTAACAGTCGAAGGAAAGAAGAACTTAGTGCAAAGCGATAAAGAACGAATAACTGTGGTTAAACCAGCACAATGGTTCCAGGTCTTCACCATTAGATCATGCTGAATCCATGATATCCAGGAGTTAATAGGACTGTAATTACCTACTTCTTTAGCATCGGCTAAGCCTCGCCTTTACGAGTACAGTGTACATGAGTTAACCATCGACAAGTTTGAGAAGCTGTAAAACCGTCGAACAAACGTGTGTATGGTATATGGCAATAGTAAAGACTCCCATTAAAGACTTTAATAAGAGGCTACTAAGTTCGCTACCCTCAAACTCCGTGGTGCGGGCTTTGGTGGTCAATTCGCAGTCTTAAAATCTACATCCATTTACTAAGCCACCGATGAAAAACCACACTCTCTAGACCCATTGAGTACTTAAAATCGATTTTTCATCCATTACAAGCCCAATTCGCTTGTCAACGGTCAATTTTTCACGCTTGGCTGGCGGTGTACTGGCGGGGGGAGCCGGGCATCCTGCACAATGCACGTTGACAACCTTACGCGGTGCTTCGGACCAACTCCGAAGGCAAACATAACGCTGCTGCTGGCTGAGGCAATTTCACGTGACATGGAATTGTCCCCGCCACGGTAAGCGGGCTTCCCAAGGCAATTGTCCCCCCGTGCATCACCAGTTTATATCGTTATGTTCAAGCAATTGATCAGATCGGGTGTGAGAACCCCCGCCGCCGCCCCTCGTTTGGCTCGCTTCATCTCGTTCGACGCCGCCAAGCAGCCGAGAATCAGACTTGGCTCCGAGGCGCCCAACTTCGACGTCGACACCACCGAGGGGAAAATCAACTTCCACAACTGGATCGGCGACAAGTGGGCCATCTTGTTCTCCCACCCCGCCGACTTCACCCCCGTGTGCACCACCGAATTGGGCGCCTTCTCCAAGTTGAAGCCTGAGTTCGACAAGAGAGGCGTCAAGTTGATTGGGTTGCTGACGGAAGGGGTCCCCTCGCACAAGGAGTGGATCAAGGACATCGAGGAAGTGGTGACTAATGGGGCCAAGTTCGAGTTCCCCATCATTGCTGACGAGAAGTTGGAAGTGCTGTACTTGTACGACATGTTGACGGAAGCCGACTTCCAACAGATCGCCAAAAAGCCCGTGTTCACCGTGAGACTGGTGTTCGTCATTGACCCCGCCAAGAAGGTGAGATTGATCATGACCTACCCGGCGCTGACTGGGAGAAACACTGCTGAAGTGTTGAGAGTGGTCGACGCTTTGCAAAAGGCTGACGCCAAGAGCATTGCCACCCCTGTCAACTGGACCGAAGGTGAAGACGTCATCATCCCTCCCACCGTGTCTGACGAAGCCGCTAAGGAAAAGTTCGGCGACTTCAACAAGGTCAAGCCCTACTTGAGATTCACCAAGGCCTAAGCGTAAATATATATAGAAAATACAAACTTTCAGCATAGACTCATCATAGACTATCACAAGAATTTACTATCACCAAACAAACAAGTAGATAGTATTTCTTTTGATCGCATATGTAGCTGTTTTTGTAATTGCTTACTGATGTGATAGTTATTAGTAGCCAAATAAATCAATCTATAAAGGTTTGTATTGATGTAAGTAAGACGGATTGGTGATTATCGCACGGAGGCATTGACCAAAGTCTTCACGGTACACGGGTTTCCTTCCCCATCTCGAAGCAATTGCGATTGATCAAACACCACCTTTTTATCACCGTTAGTACCAAGCTTTTCGGCAATCTCTTGCCACACTTTCGGTTTCACTCTCGACGGCAATGGCGGCTCATCGCCGTCACCAAACCAGAGTCTCTGGCCCACACCACTAGTAGTAGGCGGGTCCACCAATTCCACTTGGTTATTGGCATCAGCAGCCAAAAGCATCGCTTCCAGCTTCACCCCTCTCATCTTCAGCGGTTTCAAGTTGGTGACCACACACACTTTGCGGTCCTGGAGCTCGGTTGAGGGCATATAGTCCACAAGCCCTGAACACACTTGAAGAGGCGACTCAGCACCGACATCGATCTGAGACACGTAGAGCTTATCAGCATCAGGATGGCGACCACACTCAAGGATATGCCCCACACGGATCAATGCATTGTTGGCGAGAGAATTGGCACATCTGGCGGTGGACGAGAATGCCCTTCGCAACATTTGTCGAGACTGCGCGAATCAGGCAGTCAAGGATATTATGGTTTTCAAATGCTGGAAATAAAGTTATTGTTTCAGATGCGTTTCAGATCCCTCTAGTCAAATAATAAAACTCGTTTTTGTTTACATTACATTCTTATAAACTCGACAAAATTCATATGGTCATCATTTAGTCTACTTTCAACCTTGGCCGTTTGAAGTGGGTCACTGCCCCCTGAAGACGTGGGCAATAGTACGAAGGGGGCATCTGGGTCAACCCCAACGTGTCCATGGTGAAGTGCGCCGGTCTCAGTTTCAGCTTCTCACCGTATACGGTGTCGTTCCAGTAGCATATTTCCAAGTGTTCAAGCGCCGTTTCGTCCTCTAATTGGAGCCAGAGCTTTATCGCCTCACAATTAATCATCACCAACGATCTCACCGATGCTGGAATGATGAATGGCGTTCCTTCTGAGCACTTAATTTCCTTGGAAACGATCTTGAGTTCGGTTAACTTGGTCAACGAAGCGAACGCGTAGGGGTAAATAAGGTTTTTGTAATATCTGGGATGGCCCTGGCACACCTCCAAGAATACGATATCGGGGAACTGCTCCACACCGCAAAAGGAGGTCTCCAAACACTGCGTGTCGAGAGAAACGGTGTCGAAATTGAGAACCAGCTGATGATCGATATGAGTCCAGTAAGCTTTGACGCGAACCCGGGCTCTGGAGTAGACCCAGTCTTCGACCGTAGTGTTAGTAAATAGTACCCGTCTTGCCTCGACGTCTACCACTCGCAAGTTTGCTCCCTTCAATTCGAAAAAGTCAATGGGACGAGGAAGCACCAATTCCTCCCAAGTCTCGCACCCAAAGGTGAGTGAGTGCAAGAATTGGCAATCTTCAATGGGGAACGGATTCTCAACATCGATGAGGGTGCAAAACACCACGTTGGGAGCGTCCAACGAAACTTCACCTGGTTTTCAAATATAGATTGGTCAAACGGGAACAATTGAGGGACACGTCGTTATAGTCAAGTAATGTCAAGTACCGCACGTTGGGAGCAGCGAGGTCAATGTCGTAATCAACGTCTTCCAGAGTGTTACAAGCGTCGAACATTTCCAATTGAGGAGGAATGCCTCTAATCAGGCAGGGAGTATCAATGTCAAGTTCAACCAAATGAGGAGGGAGGGGAGTGTCCTCGCAAAGTGAATGATTAAAATAACACGAGACCTCGCGAAGCAGCTCGAATGAAGTCAAGTCGTCGATACGGTAATTATAGACTCTGAGCTCGGTGAGCTGAGCCATTTGCGGCCGTGTGAAAAGCACCGACGCAGGAGAATCTTCAGGGTGGAGTTCAAGGTTTTTATCGACGAACACCGAGGTGAGCTTAGGACAATTGATATAGTGGAAATCATCAAGATGTCCTTCCATACTAATATCGATACTCTCCAAGTCGAGCCAGTGTAAACATCCGAGGATGCCGGTGTTGGCCACCTTTTTCAAATGTAGCCAGTTAAGCTTTCCGGGATCATTCACTCTGGCGGCGGTGAGTTGGGGCAAATCAAACAGTGTAGGTCGCACATTATCAAGAATTGTAATATCTTCCACCTGCGGTGGCAACACAACCATAATCTTTGATGAGTTCATGGTCTCAACAATTTTGAGTGTCTTGAGGTTTGTCAATTCCATGTAAAGTCCTCCATGTAGTATGCAGCAGTGGTCTACTGAGAGCAGCGTTACACTCTTGGGGATGTCGTGCGAGTAAATGGTGGCGTAGCTGAGGGTTAGGTCATCGATAGGATGGCGGAGACTGCGAAATGACCCCCTGATCTAGGCAAAGCCGCCGATAAGTCGTACCAGAAGCAGTTTGAGTTTGGGGATACGGTTGAGCTCGTAAGCGGTGCGACGCCATTCTCCATAGCTAACTTGGACAGCCACATCAATCGGGGGAAGCTGACGGAGTAAAGAAAAGCTGATGTCATTCAAGGACTCCGAAAGAGAGTATTGACGTACAACAACTGGTTTGTTCTTTATAAGGTCAGCAGCGACTTCAGCAACAGTAGTATGACCAAGAAAGGCTACCCAAGCCCGACATATCAGTGGTGGATCAAGGAACCATAGAATATGTCGTTGGAGCTCTACCGGAAGGGTGGCGAATGAAGAGACTGGTGTCTCGCTCATCGAGCGTGTTCGGAGACGTCCCATGCGAGGGGCATGTACTTCATGCGTGTGCTGCACTGATGTACGCGGTGATAGGGGTGATCGTTATCATCACATAATATCCCGCAATTGAGCTCACACAATTGTTTAACACTGGAAAAACCTAAGCTCGAAGTATTGTGCGCGTGAACGACTTGGTGCTCTCGTTTCCATTGACGTAGTCCTCAGTTCGTCTAAAATATTTTGGCCGCGCAAATGCACTGGAGACACCGTAGCGCATACGTCGGAGAACCCGCCAGCCAGTATGTAGGCCTGTGGTTCGTACCAAACTGGTGGTCAGCCCAGCTAACAACATTGACATCATCAGATGAAGCAATCGTTGGGTTCTTGAAGCAATCGTAATACCCACAAGTGGCAGTGTCCTCATAAAGGCACTGTAAAATTGCAATGCGAATACTTAATCACCAAATTGGGACCATACACTATCGGAGAACCCCTAGATTTGTGCTTTACAAACTGCTGAGTGGCACAACCTCCGAGCTAAACGTGTCTCAGCTTGATTGGAGTATCTGATGATCATTCTCATTCGTTATTTTTCTTGTTAGGGTAGACAACGTACTCAGGATATTCGCCTTTGAATGACACCAAAAGCTTCAGCGCTTATGGTCAATTACGGGTGGTGCTGGGGCTAATCAATTTTGAGTAGGGCCAATTCTGAAGTTGAGTTGTTGGCGGAATTGTCACTTGATCCAAGAAGAAAGCACAGCGGCGAGGCACAAATCCCTGACAATCCCCGGTCAAGTTTACCCGGAAACCTTGCTAGTGATGAAGGCAAACACGGGCGTACGGTTCCGTCATGCGTCTGCAAGTAAAGCCAGTCCAATAGAGGAGACTGGAGTGGTTTCTGTTCTCTTTGTGGCGTGGGTGTCCGAGTCAAACCCGGGGAGATTGTAGGGGTACCGAAACAATAGCGCTTGTTTGCTGGGCCACAAAAGCGATAGAACAAACTAGACCCCATTAGTTGATGCAAAACTGTTCGTATCGGAATATATAGGTCTACAGACGTAGGTATATCAATATCGGCCTACACCATTATTTGGTCAATCAAACCGATACGAAGATCATTAGTAGAGTAGTTAGATGCGGTAGGTTCCCGCCTCCTGGCTAGCCAACGTGTACCTTTTATTTGACGTCATTTTAAACAGGCACAAACGCATTAAAGATGGGACAAATGCGGGGGCATGCCCTGATTAAGTTCCACTGAAAACTCAATATAAATACGCTTGGAATTCTGTCATTGATCCAGCAATTAACTCAATATGTTAGTGTTCAACTTGTGCTCGTTGTTAGCGTTGGCGTCGGCGTTGGTGGTCCCCCAAGAAAGCGATGCTTTGGAGAAGAGAGACGACCCCAAGGTGGTGGAGGCTATCCTCGACTTTGAAGGGCGCCAGTTCCACCCTACCGTCAAAGTGGGCTCGCTGGGCGAGACGTTCCACCCCACCCTCGACTCAGGCTCTGCCGAAACCTGGTTCGTCAACAACAACGACTGGGTCCACCACTCGACGCTGCTTGTTAACCTCACCACTCCCTTCCATGTAGGGTTCCTTGGCCTGAAAAAGCCCAGAACCGGCTACTACGTCACCGATACCATGTATTTCGACAACACCAAGACGGAGAACCTCCAGTTTGGCCTTGTTGACGAGTGGGATACCACCTCCAACAAACGGGGGTTGATAGGCCTCGCCCGATGGACGGGCAAGTACGATACCTTGCCCTTCCACTTGAAGACGACGGGCCAGGTTGAGCGTAATGTCGCTTCGATTTGGTATAGCACTAAGAGGGACACCGGTAAGCTTATCTTTGGCGGCTTCGACCAAGCAAAAGTGGGATCGGAATGGACCACTCACTCCGACCCAAAAACTTTTAAAGTGCCCGTGGTCAAAGTGACGACGGGGGGAGTCGACCACTACCCTGATTTTGGCGATTACCCGATCGTTGTCGACACTGGTGCCCTGAATTCGCTCCTCCCCAGAGCCATTGTCAAACCCATTGCCGAGTATTACAATGCCACTTTGGTGGGCAAGGAGTACGAAGTGTCGTGTAACCCTCCCGAGGGCCTGTTCCAGCTTACCCTTGGCTCGTTGGAGTTGGATATCCCGTTGAAGGAGTTTGTCCACCAGGCTCCGGGTAAGGCTGAGGGTATTTGCACTATTGGAGCCAGCATTGCTGAGGACCGGGGTAACGTTACTCTTATCGGCACGTCGCTTATCAGTAGAGTGGTGACGCTTTTCGACTATGAGAAGGGCGAGGTGTCGATGGCTAAGCTCATCGATACCCCGGAAGAGAATATCGTGGCGGCTAAGTAAGTGAGATTTCATATGAATTGAATGAATTGAATGTGATAGTGCCGAAGGAGGCGGCTAAGGCCCATCACTAAAAGTGAATAGTAAATGTGACCAATACTCAGTCATTTATGGAATGAGTAAGATGACAACAAATTTGTAAGGTATCCTTCTTAGTGAGCAGATCGCTATCAGAATTATACTTCGTTGATTGCCACAGTTAGTCACATAGTTAATCTCATGCTGATAACTCGAACATTGATCATCATCCCTGTTACGGAAATCACCAACTTTCAGTATTCTGATCACCTGTTTTTCGTATACCGTAAAAATTAATTCAAACCTTTACTCTCATGAATTTCATCGGTGCTGCAAAAGTCTCCACAATTAAACGCGCCCAGTGCCAACCAACAGAAGGGTGTCCACATATCACCAAAAAGACCATCAAACCAAACCATCGACGACATCACCATACTTTACAAATGAAACAGAACGACTCTGCGCTAGTTGATCATCGCTACGACGACGACTATTACCTCAACTACGCCCACCAATATATCGACTTCACCTACAATAACCCGACGCTATTCCATGCTATCAGCCACTTTTCCCATCAATTGAAGTCCAAGGGATTCAAATATTTGGATGAAAAAGACAATTGGAGTGATATTGGACCGGGGAAGTACTTTACCGTGAGGCTGGGGCTGCTGCTCTCGGCATTCATTATTGGCGACCAGTGGCTGCCCAAACGGGGCGTGGGGTTTATCGGTACCCATATCGACTCGTTGACGGCGGTATTAAAGCCTAAACTGATTAAAAACGATAAAGACGGCTACCAGCTCCTTGGGATTGCTCCTTATTCGGGGGGTCTTTCTCCTGTGTGGTGGGACCGTGATTTAGCCATTGGCGGTCGCCTATGGGTCAAAGATAAGGATGGAAAAGTTATTCCCAAGCTAGTTGATTCCTCGCCTCACCCGATTGGCCATATCCCGTCGTTGGCGCCTCATTTCGGTACCCCTTCAAAAGGACCATTTAATAAGGAAACCCAGGCTATCCCAGTTATTGGCTATGGTAACAAGCAAGACGATGCTACTGACGAAGAAAAAAAGGCTCCATTGTATGGGAAACACTCGCTCCAGTTGTTACGCTACATTGCCCAATTAGGTAAGGTGTCAGTCAACGACATTATCCAGTGGGATATTCAATTATACGACGTGCAAAAGGGGGCCATTGGTGGTCTCGATGACGACTTTATCTTTGCTCCCCGCGTCGACGATAAGGCGTGTCTGTACGCCGCCATTTACTCGTTGCTTGAAGCTGACCACGAAAAATTACTAAAATCTGATGGGTTATCGATGGTAAACTTATACGATAACGAGGAGATTGGATCGTTAACACGCCAAGGAGCCGAAGGCGGTTTATTTGAAGCCGTAATCACGAGAATTGTCGGTGCTTATTTGGACAATCAAGCGTCAGTGGCAGATGCTTTAAGGGTAGTATACGCTAATCTGGTATTGCTTTCAGCCGACGTTGTCCATTTGGTAAACCCCAACTTTGACCAGTTATATTTGGAGGGCCACAAGCCGGTACCGAATAAAGGGATGACCATTGCTCTTGACGCTAATGGAGCCATGGCCACTGACTCAGTGGGATTAAGCCTTATAGAGGAGGTGGCTCGTAAGAATGGTGACGACGTGCAATACGCCCATAACCGTAACGATACCAGAGACGGCGGCACTATTGGTCCGACAATTCTGGCCAATACGGGAGCACGAACTATTGATTTGGGGATCCCACAATTGTCGATGCACCTGATTCGAGCCACTCTTGGCGTGAAGGATATTGGCTTGGGTATCAAGTTTTTCAAAGGGTTCTGGCAATTCTGGAGAGAAACCTATGATTTGTATGATGGGTTGGTGTGACTGATAAATTAAGCATAGGATCGCAAATTGTCTATTCAGCTCAGACAGTAATAGATTCCAGCATTCAGTTCTAGTAATAGCTAAGCCTTTATCATCCATTTATTATCTCTAGCATCAGCTCTCACTACTACTAGTCTTTTTCTAACGGTGCTAGACACCGTTATATGGCTAATCTAGTCGATCTACCCGTGATCCAAAAATTACGTGTAAACCAACAGTCACCGGTTATAGTCCACCAACCAAATAAATATTAGACTATCAGTAGTGATTGTCTAGAAGCTATGTTTCATCATCAGTAGCAGGACACGTTTCATCATCCATAGTGAAACCTGTTTCATACATGAAACACTCGGGTGATTCCATACGCTTCTTTCGATAGAGGGCGCGCGTATCGATTGATCTACACCCTACACGCGCCGACCCCCATGAACACAACGACGCCGCTGTGGCTCGACCGGGTGGCCGTCAACGTCCCCAACCACGTTTACGAGTTGCTAGAAGGGGTAGTATCCCCCGAGATCGTGGCGGAAGCAGCTATCGTTGCCATCGCCGCGGTTACGGTGGCATTGGCGGTATCGTTTACCACGGCCAAACCGAAGCGGGCGGCTCTTCCTGACCCCAAACTGCCCTTGTATCACCCATCAGATAACGATAATTGCAAGTATATTATCACTACGCGAGCGGCGGCTGATTTTGGCGATACTACCCTTAAAGGGTACCAGGTGGCGCTAGTACCGCTTGTCGCCGCCGTGACGCTTGCGGGGCTCTACTGGGTGATGCAACAGACCCCCGAGCTGGTCAATTGGTACTTGAATTGGATGTTTTGCCTCGGATTGCCGATGTGTGCCCATGACACTATCAGTCAGATTTTGACGGTTTTTGACCGGTGGCGGTGGGTCCGGTTCCAGCGGTACGCCGTCGTGGTGGTCAAGGACGATACGTTACCGGCAGGACCGATGGACGGCGACTTGGACGCTGAAGAGGTCCACCAAACGTACCCTGATTATGTCACCGTATGGCCGGCCCCCGCGCAAGTGGACGTGGCCAACCGGGTGGCTCACTACGTCACTGACGGTAAAGGCATAATTGCCTTTCCCCTTGCCGTTGGCTTGACCTATTTATTTTGGTTGAAAAACCCTGGATTACACCCTGACCTGGCGGCGGTGGCAAACTGGGTGGTAACAAATGCGGCGCTGTTTGCCTATACCGTTACGGGGATCGCTCTGCTTCAACTTGCACGGTTCTCCCACGCCTGCCTTATGCTTCTGGGTCTTTTTGTTTACGATATTTATTTCGTATTTGCTACGCCGATGATGGAAACGGTGGCGAGAGGGCTCGATGTGCCTATAAAGTTTATTGTCCCTCGCGCTGACGGTGAGTTTATGGACCAGATGTTTCTGTTAATTGGTACCGGAGACCTCGTTGTCCCCGGTGTTTTCTTACTGTTATTGCTGAGGTTTGATTACCACCAGTACTACTCAAAACGGCCCACGGTACCCTTCCACCACGCCCGACAGATCCCTCGTCCCTATTTCCGGGGGGGGATGGTATTTTATACGCTAGGACTCGTGCTTACGATGGTGGCAATGCACACTTCCCAACGGGGTCAACCAGCTCTTTTATACATTGTCCCCTGTCTCCTCCTTGGGACTTTAGGGTTAGCCCATTTCCGGGGGGAAGTCGGCGCCCTTTTCAGCTTTGACGATGAAATTGAGATGAAACCACCCCTGAATGAAATTGCCGATTCCGATGCCAGCGACGACGACGACGAGTTTGAGCTCGATTCCTACGACGAGTGGGTGGAGCGAGTGGAACAGAAGCGCGACGAGCTTATCGCCGACACCGACGACGACGACCCCGTCGTGTACCAGTTCTTGCTGGACGACGATGACGATGACCATACCTTTGTCATCGGCGATAACGACACCGACAACGATTCCGGCGATAACCTCGACAGTGACGGCGACGCTGAGCTTGGCGACGGCGACGGGCTTGCCGACGAGATCATTGCCATCCGCCAAGAACTCGCCCGCCCGCCGCAGGAATGGTACAGCGATGACGAGTAAGGCAGCAGTGTATGTGGTCACGGGACAAGGGGGGGAAGCTCGGAGTTCCGCGGGTGCGTGCTGCGGGACCAGATCTTTCAGGGGGAATACGAAACCAGGGGAGACTGGAGGTGTATGTCCGAAAGGGTACACACGACGGCATGAGTGACAGGTTCCGCGTCATTTTTCTAGTGGTGGTGCAAAAGATGACCCAGATGGGGAAGGGCGTCAATTCTGGGGAAGTCCGCGCGGTGTGCGAAAGATCTGGCCCGCCTGCCATGCCCCCTCGCGGTGCAGCGGACACGATGCACCGGAGCTCCTTTTTCTTAAGGCCGGCGGCGGCGATGTCCTGCCGGCGCCCTCCTTGGATTGTACTAACAGAGCTCGAAGCAGGCAGGCAGGAAAACGCATATAAGCCGCAAAGTCCCAAAAAATCCAGTGAGACAGTGGTTCAGTGATATCAATCACTGGACGAATTGACACCGCAGACCGCAAAGACCGTTTGCACTTGGCGATGCTGATACACGACGTCGGTTCGGTGTACGAGGTCCGGCGCATTCTCCACGACCTGCTCGAGGACACTCGGCGCTACCATCACCACTGGGCCGCCTCCCAAGTGCCTAGCCTCAGTGCTAATGGCCCCGTCAACGAGTTCTTCCACCAGTGGCAGTCGACTCGCTACAACCAGCGCCATTTGGCCCGCCAGCTCGCCCAGATCGACGAGATGGTCCGCGATGGCAGCAGCGATGGCGCTGACAGCACCGCCACGTCTCCGGAGTCGTCGCAGCGGTCAGGACCCCGCACCGCATTCACCTAGCATCATCAATCATTCAGTCATCATTCATTCATTCATTTACGTTGTGTTTTTTTAATAATGGATATACACTTTTCGTATTTGGGTAGGGTTTTGGTCACGTGCGGGATTCTGGACGTCAATGTACGTTGGGCGGGGCTCAGCACCGTTTTAACCAGGGCTGCATAACCTAGAGGCCTCGAACTACGTACCAGAGGGGTGCGGGATGCGCGGGATGTCGACGATGCGCTCACGTGGCATATACCATCTGATGTAGATGGGTAATCTGACGTTCCTCCAGCAGATTGTGACTATCCGCCCTCACCGATTTAGGCAAGTCCCATGCGCTCAGTGCAAGTATTTACCTTAACCATCATTGGTGAACTTAAGGTTAGGTATTCACCTTCACGAACTTCAGTAGATAATCAGCCAGCAGAAGCTCTCTCATGGAGCTCAAATTTGGGTGCTTTAAGTATCGCTGGTGACTTTGAAATGGTGTCAAACTACGACGGACAAAGCAATCAGTCACGTGATCCGGAGATTGAAAGCGCTTCCTAGCCATTTTTCCGGTGTTCTGCGTAGTCTAGTGGTTTCAGTAGTTTTTTGATGCTTTGAAAGCAAATCAAATTTTCGGGTTCGACTCCGCCAACCTCCAAATATGATGTGAGCTTAATCAAATGGCCATACCTCCTTTAATATCACGAAAATTGAATGTCTTAAGCGGAACAATTATCAGCAACACACGCTTCGCGAAGCGTCATATTCTCCCAAGGCGTACATGCTCTGGTGTTATTGGAGAGGGGTCTGTTTTGCGTTAGGTACGCAGGCTCAGGCGGCACCGTAAGCTGGAAAATGCCGTTTAAGCACACTTGGCAGTACCCCCAGAGTGTGGGGTAATGTAAGGCACGATAACACGTAGCGCTCAATTATAATTCAGCTTTGACACCCAACTTGCTCCTTTGCCAGCTTCTGTTGAGCCAAAGCAATTGCCTTTCAAGCATTCCTAACTTCTCTAAGTTATCGCTATGTTCCTCTTAAAATCGCTGCTTTAGATTTCATTTATTTGTTGAGGCGATAATGCATATTTCTCCAATTTGGGGCGCGTCGATGGAATACCCCACTTTCTACTAAATCCGCCCATCACCTTGGCAGCGGGGCATCTCGGGTTTGTCGGGCAACGGTAGCTTGCTCGAAACAAGGTAGTCTTGATGGCATTTACTGAGGTATCTCAAGGAATCTTCGAGTACGGCAGACTAATTGAATGCAAAACTAAAGCCATAGCTACGCCTGCAATAAGCCAATAAGTCTGCTATATCTGCAATAACCCTGTGATGCTACCATGCCTGCAATCAACCATGTCATGGTCTACGGACAGGATTCTCCGCGCAGGCTTCCCCTCGCCGTCGCCGTCTCGATTGCCACCACGGTGGCTAAGCAAATTACTATTCTAATGAGGAACTCGATGAGCAGTATTGGCCCAAAGATGACAATATCAACAAGTATTAGTGAGATTGCGCGATTCTCTAGTTTTAATTTGATGTCGTGACCTTCGTCTGGTACTCGTCACGGGGCGGAGTTTAGGGGCGTTGGCCATGCACCGGAGAACTCAGCGGTTCTCCGTATGCTTCAGGGGCGCCACGCTGTTCCCCTCCCGCCAACGATACCGCATTGGGGACCAGCGCGGGCTTGGTGATGACGTCGACACAAAATGCGGGGAAATCTGGGGTCGACGGGGTCGAGCGATGATTGGCGTAATTATGGCTGTAGGCGAACAGGAGGCGATGTAACCTGGTTCCACGCGGTGCGATGCTTCTCCTAGAATTTACCAGCATCAAAATATGGTGGTTAATGCCCGTCTGGCGTAGGTTTTGTCCGGTGAATGTTACCCCGGAAAGTGGTTCCGCGTTATCGCAACCGTGTTTATGCATGGCGTCATGCGCCCCCCACAATCCCGTGCGCCAGTGCTTGTAACCACTATAACCCCGACCGTTAACCAAACCTTACCCAAAAACTCCGCCAATCAAGTTAAAACCACCACTTTTCAAAAAACCAAATACATACCATAGCCACAGCTATACTACCAATCACTGTCTACACCTCCCCTGGTCAATTTGAGCCTGATTTTACCCCACTTTCCAAAAACATTTGCCAGTATCGTAACCCCAAGGCTTATTCCAGTTCCCCGCCACCGTCGTTTCTCCTCTGTTTAAATCATACCCCATCTTTTCTAACGACCATGTTTCATAATCCCACAACTATATAACTGTCCTGTTTTGCTATTTGTGGCTCAGTTCAAATTGGAATAAGCCAATGTCGCTCCTGTCTGACCTGATCCAGAAGGAGACCGGCACCTACCTGCTTTCGCAGCCGTGCTCGCGGGTCGAGGTGTTTGGCGACGACAACCAGTACGTGATGCTAGGGGGCCAGAAGTACTTGCGGCTGGAGTTGCAGCACGCGTTCGGGGGTACTTTCCAGGCGGAACGGTATCTGACGGGGCCTACTCATAATTTCGGTAACCCGGCTCCCGTGGGGCTTGCTGGCTTTGGCCTCACTGCGGTGACGTTGGGTCTTTATTACGCAGGCGCTAAGGGGATCCACGAGCACCAGATGATCGTGGGTTGTCTCGTGTTTGACGCCGGTTTACTCTTGTTTGTCGGTGGCATCTGGGAAATGTGTATTGGTAACACGTTTGGGGCCACTGCGTTCCTTAGTTACGGCACGTTCTGGTTCTCATTTGCCACGATCTCGCTTCCCGCATTTGGTATCGCTAAAGGGTATGGTGATGACCACGCCCAATTGGCTAATGCCAACGGACTATTCTTATGTGGGTGGACAATATTCACGTTTATGATGTGGCTGTTCACGTGGAAGTCGACGTGGGCGTTTTTCTCGATGTTTACGTGTTTGTTGACTACTTTTTGTACGTTGACAGCTGCGGCGTTTACGGGCCTGGAAGCCGTAGCGAAGGCTGGCGGGGTGTTGGCAGTGATCACGGGTTTCTTAGGGTGGGCGTGTGGCTTTGCTGGTGTCGCCACCCCGGAGAATTCGTACTTTAACTTGCCCACACGACCCATGCCCCTTATCACGACGAAGGGGATCAAGTACCAGTATCCTTGATGAAGTGGGTGACCCCATTTGCTGTGCAAATGAGGGTACGAGAGACTGTGCCCAGACCTCACGGTTTTCTCCTAATTTTTTTATCGTTTTTTTATAGTATTTCTCAGTTTTTACGGCATCAAATAACAGGACGTATTTCAGAGAATGTAGCTGGTCCAAGGTTTGCATAATTGCTGATGTCACTCACACGATGCTTGAGTGGTTTTATGTGTCGTGAGAAGAGTACTGCACGACATAGGGGGATCGCATCTATTTAGGAAAATCGCTAATGAAATGATTGCTAAATTAAACTATTACCGTAGCATCCCGAAGTATCAGGAGAACAGTGATCATGGTCAAGCGCTATGGAGTAAAGTGTTGCAAGTATGCATTACTTTTAACTACCTGTCATACAATGAGACTCAATTGTTGCTCTACATTAGTCGACTAAATGGCAATTTAATGATTTCGAGTAACGTTACTGTGGCCAGAATACTACACAGATAGTCGTTACCGATCGTCCGCATATAGTGCTCGGACTACCGCTAGCTCCGGCTTTCGGATCGGCTGAGCCGACGGCTGTGTGTTTGCGATCGGCGGTCTCTAATTTGTGCTTCATCCGCACGCGGACGGTCCGTCACCGGATTACTCCACAAAGCACAAAAGCAAGTTTCCCCAGCCGGGGCCGCCCGAGCCTCGGGCCACGGCGGAGATCTCGATTGGCATGTGTCAACGGCAGCGGCATTACACAAACTGAATGCACCCCTTTTCCCAGTTCGCACGCTTCAAAGGTCCACGGGCATTTCTAATCGTGGCCGTGGTCTAGGCTGGAGCGAGGCGAACACCCGTCCGATCTCTGCTTACAAATGGCGTTAACCTTACAAATAACTCACCGGTCTGGATGTTATACGAATTCAGTCAGCTTAGAAATACATTCACAGTCTAGATGATTCAACGATATCAATCTAATGTGATCGCCCATGATCTACAGTCTAGATGACGGATTATTGTAGTCTGCTCGATTTAATGCAATGAATTAAACTGGGGCAGTAGTTTCAGGGGAGATATAAATAGATAAATCTTTCGTTATCGTTTTCTTTTCATTGTTTACCTCCTTGTAGACGAAATGGCACCCTACCTTGAATATTCGTCGAAAATTTAAATACTCATTGTTTCAATAATTCTCGATACCTTATGGTGATTTTTGAACGTATACATGTCACTTGTGGTTCAATTCTTTAGACTCAAACCCTGACCTGAAACTGTCTACACTCACTTGAAATGGATCGCGTGAAATTGTCTATGCGTAAAAAGTATGTGTCCCGTAAATCGTATCCAAATAACGTTAAAAAAAATCGTTTTTATCATCAAAGTGTCGATGTCATCAAATTCTCGATATTATCATCAGTGTCAGCTTTTGTTAGTTATGCTGGTTGTTGCTGGTTTTGTTTGCCGGCGCTCAGTCGGTCTGACGAGCGGCGCAGTGTCTCTATCCTTATACTGCCAGCAGATAAGCAAGTTAGGCGAAGCGCTAAACTCGATTCCGGCTTAATTGACTCGCCAAACTCGCTAGAACGCGAGGCTGGCTCGTCACACTCGGGGCACGAGCCCCTGGGGGCACACGATGCACTCCTGCAAGAAGTGGGAGCGCAAGCGGCCCAAATGGTCGTCAACTTCCCTGGTGGGACCGGGGCGCTCGGTGAACGTCAGCTGCGCCACGGGGCGCACCGTCAGCCGCCCCACCCAGGTCTCGTCCAGCGTCAACGGCTTGATGCAGCGCAAGCACTGCTTGTAGTAGCGGTAGCGCAGCGGCTCCCCGTCGTCGGGGCGCCACTTGTCGCCAGCAGCGACGTAGCGCAGCGCCAGAGGCGCCCTCAGCCGCGATCTCAGCGCCAGCAGCAGCGCCAGCGGCAGCGCCAGCGCGTCGGTGGCGCCCAACAACTCGTCGTCCAAGTCGTCCTCCTCCTCGTCCTCTAAGTCGCGCAAGTCGGCCATTTCCACATCCTCTTGGTCGTCGTCGTCGTCGCTGGCGCCCCGGGTCAGCGACCGCAGACGAGGAGTGGGCAGCGGCAGCGGCGCCGCCAGCAGCAGCGCCAGCAGCAGCAGCGCGTGCGGGCGCGGCGACAGCGGCGGCAGCGCCCGGTGGGTAGTGGGCGCCGCCACCGGCGCCGGCGGCATCTGCCCCTGTTGCTGCAAATTGGTATGGGAGAATTTGCGCTTGATCTTGCGGAAGATCAGCGCCGGGTCCAGCGCCAGTCGGGGGCGAGTCAGCGACATGTGGCCATTAAACAAGTCGGTGAGCGCCGTCGCCAGCAGCGCCGAGCGCCGGTGGCGCCGCCGCCGCCGCGGCACCGTGCGGTACTTGGGCATGTCGCGGTCGTTGATCTCCGGCGCCACGTCGCGCCCGGCGCTGAGGGCGGCGTTCCAGTCGATCAAGTGCTGGACGGAGTCAAACCCAAGCAAAAACTGCTCGTGCTCCATGCGCACCCGAAGCACGTTGTTGCGCTTTTTGTAGTCGGTGGCGAGGCCCAACTTGGCGTGGTGGAGCGAGTACAGGCGGAGCAAAAGCGCCGGGCGCCGGCGGTCGCCAAACACGCCGAGGCGGCGGCAGTGGCGGTGCATCGCCAAGTCCTGCGGCGTGGTCATGGCGCTGTTTAAGTGCGCCAAGTCGCTAAAAGCGCCGGCGCTACCAGCGCCGGTGGTGCAGGGGTCTTGCGCCTGAAACAGGAGTACTGCGCTTTCCATGTGGGCGGGGATGGCGTAGATATTAAGCTGGGTCAGGTTAAGCTCGGCTACAACGTATTTCCACAGTCTCAGCGTGGCGGGGGTGTAGGGTGAGAGCCACTCGGGTTTGCGTGAAACCACCGCGAGTTTATATACCAGCGGCTGATACAGGGGTAACGTTTCAGGTTCCAAATTATCCAACACGTTGAACCGCGGTAAGCCCCCGGGAGGTAACAGTGAATATGATGGCGGTTTCACTGGATTGGGTTCAAGGAGTAATAATAACTCTAATGACAGCGCCGTCGTCGCCAGGAGTGTTGGAAGCATTTCCGACAGTTCCAACACTTCTGACAGGGGTACCGGCGGCGCGCACGATGATAACAACGGAGGGCTCAGGCCTCGAGTCGGCGTAGTAATCGCCGTGGTACCACTGCTAACGTCCAGCACCACCAGCGCTGGCAGCAGGGGGCGCAGCAGGTCTGGCAGCGACGACGCCGACGGCACTGACACAACCAGTTTCGGCAGCGCCATCAAGCTGTCGGAAGCGTCGTCAAACGTGCTGAAGATGTCATCATAAAACGGGTTTCGGGAGTGGTCGGCCCCTGTTACAGATGTCAAAAACGGGTTTCGGGAGCGAAGCGGGTTGCTGCTGCCCCACATCATAGGGTCGACAGGCGGCGGCGCTAGCGAACTCATCGTTTTAGTGGGAAACGAAATGGGGTGGGAGTCTCAGGAAATGTTTCAGGCGACCGGGATCTGGTACAGGGGGAGCAGATCCTGAAACTAATATAGGCTGATGGTCGTTTGGGAAGTTTGGGGGAGACCAAGCAACCGTTGCTGTCAAATTTTTTTTTTTAGCCGACTGCCTTCGAGTGCTGGGGCAAATATAATATGACAAACGAGAGGGAGTGGCTACAGCAGGATATGTCTTTGCTTTTTTGACTTGCGGCCCTCTTAATGAGAAAAGGTGCTTTGGCCCAGGGCTGCGTAACCAGAGAAAATCAGTGAGAAATAGCTACTAATCTCGCGCGGATATAGGGGTAAGCGCCCTGAAACATATCAAATATCAAACAGAGGCGCAGTCCCGAGTTTCAAATTACGAAACAAGGGGGGCCGGAGATAACGACCACAATAGTGATAGAAGTTGAAGGAATGAAGCCAGAAGCTGATATCAGAAGTAAAAAAAGGAGGACTTTGCTGAGTTGTTGTTGAGGGTGATCCGGGAACTTGCCCTGCTGCCGGGTCACGTGACCCCGATTGTGTCACGTCGTTGCGCCCGGGGCACCAAACCGGGGCGCAGGTGATTACGCAACGGCAGAAAAGGCTGTGATCTCTCTCATTTATCGCTCACGGCTGCTCCCCTACCGTGCGCCGAACGGTTGCGACAGGCTGCGGAAGCGTCTAATTTGCGCCACAGAATATATCTCTCGGGAGGCACGGGATGAGCGGTGCACTGATGGCAGAAATTCTGATACGCATGGGGCCTGATACTTCCCTCAGAACCTGAAACACATGGGCACCGATGCCGCCGCTGCTGCTCGTTTACTCACACCGGTTTCCGCCGCCGGCTGGGCGCGGCCGCCCGGCGCTGGGCGCCGAGGGGTAATTTAAGAAAACTGTGGGTGTCTGTCTGCTGAACGCACGTGATTAAACCTGCATATTGACGTCACCGCCTACGTTAGCTTCCGATCGGCCGATGAGATGAACTACGGCAAGAGAAGGCAGATAAAAAGAAACGACCGACATGGTACACATACAGTAATAGCATAACATTTTGGGTCGTGCGCCAACCAAGATATTGTACTTGGCGCTACCATCTCAGCGCTACCATCCGCCACGGCGCGCTACCAAATCCAGCGGCGCTACCATGTACCACATCAACCGTCGCGCCCGAAGGCCCCATAGGGGATCCATTAGCAGACATCAATTGCAAAATACTTCTTAGTCGTTGATGGAGCCATTGGCGCTGATTGCGGCTCACCTAAAGCTGGGACAAGGGTCACCTGACGACCTTGCCCTTTTGGCCCAGATGGTGAACTTGGCGGCACAAAAGCAGTTACCTGACGCCGCGTGGGATGAAACGGTTTCAGGTTTAGTTGAAACCGCCATTGAGTCCGAGGACGCGCAGGTACACCGTGTTTATCGCGCGATGGTGGTGTTAGCCCGGAACTTAACCCAGCAGCGGCGGCCGCGGTCGGAGGTGGTGGTGGAACAGATTCCGAGGTACTTTGACGCCGCGCCCGTGACCGAGTGGTACCCACTTACGGCCACCGCCTACTCGGAAGTGGTCGCCCACATCTCAAAGTTTACCGATCTACGCTTACTAAGCTACCTCGACCGGTGTATTCAAGCAAACCCCGAGATCCCGTTACCGCCGATAATGATGGTAATTGATAACGAAACCAGTGGCGATTTACCGTTAAATCATCCCTACATTATGGAGCTGATGAGAGTTCATTTTGATAACTTAAATTTCGACGAATTAGGTGAGCTGGGGAAACTGTTGGTGGCGAGCTTATATAATGTGGTCAGTCACGAAGAGTTTGACTCGTTTCTCGAAGGGTTAACTCCGGCGCAACGGCTCACGTGGTATCGGTTAGTGCAATTGCTTGTCCCCACCACGTCAAAATGGACTAACCACCAATTAGTGGGGCTCTTGGCATGGTTAAAACACTATACTTTGAAACTCATCCCTCAGGTGATTCAAGCAGTCGAAACGAGTACGGTGACGGAGACTGATGCCCGTAGTCTCGGCGCATTACTCGACGTTATCTCCGAGCTCTGTGTGTTCCATGTATTTAAAGATGGGCTTATCGCCTACGATTTTGCCATACCGTTATGTCAATTATTGGGTACGCTTCACGTCCACATCAAACCGGCCACGCTTAAGAAACTGGAACAACAACCATTTACTTTCCCCCACGTGAAACTGACGATTATTGAGATAATATCGTATATGGCTCATGGCTCGAAAAAAGTACAAGACCAAGTGCGAGAAAACCACGGGTTAGGTGTCATTTTATCCAATTGTCGTATCGATGATCATAACCCTTTCATTAAGGAGAGAGCGATCACGGCGATTAAGTTTTTACTCGAAGGTAACCCCGAAAATCAACGAGTAGTGGCGGAGTTAGAAGCACAAGAACTGACGAAATTGGACCAACAACAATTGAAACAAAAGATTGAGGAACTCGATTAGGTGGAAACATCCAACCACTGATAAGCCCGTGAGCTTCCCTGTGAACTTCTAGCAGTGGTGGGCCTGTGAGCATTCAAGCCTTGATCGGTTATGTTACCAGTTGAGCAGAGCTCGATATACTGGATTGATATTTGATGAGAGAGTCTAACAAATTCTGATCTATCATAGAGTGACGAGCTTGGTATGAAGTTGATCTCACGCTGACAGATCTATATTTACACGAAAAGAGACTCCAAAAGAGACTACGTTGGCTTCATTTTCCTCAAGGATTATTCCAGTCTTTGATACCATGGTCATAGTCAGGCCCTAAATTTAATACAAATTACCATTTAAACAGTATCATCTTTTCATTTGTACCATCTTCACGATCTCACTCTCATCAGGCATAGTTAGTTGCTAAATCGAGACTACTGTCAACCATCACCTCATCGGGCTTATCATTATTTACCATCATACGAAATACGACTCCGGTTCCACCCGAGTACCTATCGACATCAGGGTCATGGCCGTGTCATTGCCGCCATAAATGTCGTAATCGAATATCTCACATTATCTCATCCTTTGTCACATTTCCTCTCTTGGGCCCTGTTTCCTCTTTTGCCTTATCAGTACAAGCGAAAACGATAGGACAAAGAAATTTAATAAAACGCGAGTGATTATCGGGTAAACGGAAGCCTGGGATTGTGAGCACTTTCCCAGTACCCCACTTGCTTATCTACACCCACCAAAACAAAATGTCCATCATGTCACCACTGGCCTGGGGTAGTGGTCGTGTGAATTGAACGGGGGGTTGGCTAAGGGCTTGGAAGTGTGTGGGTGCGAAAACGAGTGGGGGTGACACTGGAGCGGGGAACCTGCATACAATCCCCACTTTTCGCCCCAACGAAAACGCCATAAACACCCGTCAAAACCTTTCCCCTCAATAAAAAGCCCTTTTCCATTCATTTCACCATGACTGTGTACGTTGTTGGCGGGCCTGCGGGCACTGGCAAAACCACCATTGGCGAGCGGCTTGCCGCTACCTTAAAATGCCCGTTTGTCGAGGGGGACTCGCTCCACCCTCAGGCCAACATCGACAAGATGGGTGCCGGACATCCGTTGACCGACGACGACCGATGGGGGTGGCTCGAACAGGTGGCGCTCGTCAGCGCTAAAGCCGCCCACGAAGCGCCTTCAGATACGGCAGTGGTGCTGTGTCTGATCCTCAAAAAGAGCTACCGGGACTGGATCAGACAAAAGCTGCCCGCCACCCAGTTTGAGATGGTGTTCTTATACTGTCTGTACGACGAGTTGGTCCAGCGGGTTGCGGGGCGCCAGGGCCATTTCATGAAGTCGGATATGGTCAAGAGTCAATACGATATCATGGAGGTGCCCCACGGCGAAGCCCACGCGTTGCCTGTGGATACCACGGGTAAGTCACCGGATGAGATCATGACTGAAATTGAAAAGGCATACTCGCTCAATTAGTCCTTTATATATACGCTAAGCGGGTGTGCATTTTCTTGAACAAAAGTTGAAACAAAACAAATGGTGCACGTTTCATATACGAAATTTAGGGTGGCTGTGTACCTCAAAATATATACTTTTACACCGTAAAGCTCCGGGCAACCCCGGCGGCGCTTTGAGCAACCCCGGTGGCGCTTTGTGATAAGCCGTGGGGAGAACACCAGTTGGTTGTAAGCATTTCCAGTTCAACTGGATCCAACTTGAAACGTAGCATGAAACAATCTTTTGAAACATAACGTGACACATAACAGTTTTAACCATAAGTTTTGTTTTGGTACTATAAGTTTATTAATTCCACACACTTATCTATGTCGCTTTGTGTCTACCAGAGGTTATCCACAGAATGAGAGTCCGGGGCCCCCGAGCATTGCCGCCCTGCCGCAAACGACGACGATTGAACTATCAGGTTTAAGTTCCCACCGAAGCAGTCCTTTCTGGCTCAATACTCTCTCTCAACCTTTACTGGTCTTCTGGTTCTCGACCGATTCCCCTCCTCTCACCCCCTTTTTTCTCGAAAAAGGGGTCGGATTGTTACTGTGAGATTGGCGCCGCAATATACGACCACGCGGGTGTCGTCGCCCTCCAAAGTTCCTGCACATAATCACATCCACCCGGGTGCGCGCTGCGAAAAAAGATCGCCTCACCCTTTTTTCTCTCGCTCCCCCCGTGCCATCGTCATCCCCTATCAACCACACACCACCCACTTCCCCCCCTCCTCCTTCCCCCTATCGACCATATGCTCGCTGCGCCCGACACCTGGCCGTTCGTCGACCCCGTCAAGGACCGCCGCGTGGCGTTGATCACCGGCGGCTCGCTGGGCGTGGGCTACTACACCGTCCTCCACTTATACCGCCACGGGTACGCCGTGTACATCGCCGGGCGGTCGCGGTCCCGCGTCCACAAGGCGATCACCGAGGTCAAACACGCCGCCGCGGCGTTGAACCGCGGCGACGATAAGCCCCCCCGCGTGGGCGAGCTCCATTTCCTCGAGGTCGACTTGGCGCTGGTGGAGCTGGTTCTCCACGCCGTCGACGTGTTTGGCCGCCGCGAGGCGCGCCTCCATTTGCTCATCAACAACGCCGGCGTCATCGCCCTCCCCTACGCCGTCACCCAGGACGGGTTTGAAATTCAGCTTCAAACCAACTTTATCTCGCCGTTTTTGCTCACCACGCAGCTATTACCGGTGTTGGAAGCGACGGCGGCGGCGCTGGCCCCTGAGGCGGCGCCGCGAGTGATTTACCTCTCGCTGCTTGGCCATAAATTAGCGCTCCGGTACTGGCTGCCGGCGCTCTCGTTCAATTACTGGCCCAACGTCGTGTTCACCTGGTTCCGCTACGCCCGCGCCAAGGCCGCCGGCATCCACACCGTGAAAATGATCGCCCACCGGCTGCCGCTGGTGCTCCTGATGGCAGTCCACCCAGGTTTAGTGATGAACACCAATTTGTTCACCAACTGGACGCGGTTGCCGATCATCGGCATCGTCTTCTGGTGTCTTTTCCAGATATTCGGCTGGTTGTTCGGGGTGACGGCCGAGGAAGGCGCCAGCGCCACCATCCGGTGCTGTCTCGACCCCCTGCTCACACCGGCCACCGATAACGGCGCCTACTTCGCCAAAGGCGAGCGCCTGGAGGCGAACCACGTGGCGCTGCTGATGACGTACGCGGCGGAAACCTGGGCGTGGACCGTCCTGGAACTCGCGCTGCGGGGGATCTCGGCGCCGCTGGCGCCCCCGCGCCCCAAAGATCTTTGACACCCCACAAGATCTTTAACTTACCACCAATCTTAATACCTTTAATTTGCATGCCTCTCTGAGCTCCTCTCTGAAAATTCGTTGTTTTTTGATCACGTGTAAGGGTCAATATCCTCCACGATATCGTCATCGGACGATACATCGTCTTTATCGCCAACAAAACCTCTAGGGTGTTCATCATACAGGTCGTAATCGATGAATAGACCGCGGCGCTCCCCCTCGGAATTGGCGTCCAGCTCATAAGCGCTTTCCTCAGCGTCGTCCTCTTCCATCTCGTCCTCTTTATCTTGTTTCTGTTGCTGGTTAATGACATAGTCGGTGAAGTCACTGAACTCGGTATTCTGTAACGTGGCCACCAACTCGTTGACAGAAATATTATCATCGTTGCTATCTTCGTCATCGGTATCGGTCCAGTCATCGTCGTCATTTTCCATATCGTTTTCAGCGAAATGGTCAATAATCAGTGCGAACTGAGTGTCTAACGTTTCCGTGGCCACATCAGGGTCGTCACGACTGATGATCGACCAGAACCGGTCCATATCGAAGGTAATAGTACCAGGAAGACGTCCCTGATTAATCATCTGTTCCTGAAAAGATGATGAAGCAATTGATTCAACTGCTGGTAAAGGTAATTTCAATGATGCCATCCCTTGAGTTATCATATTAGCAGCAACATCACTAGCCTCCAATTTCTCACTGACTGACCTCGCGACAATATCGGTGAAACAAAGACTATTGATTGGCACCACCACTGGAAGAACCTCAGTAATAGAAGAAGCCTGAAACTCTGTTTTAGAGTCATTGTTGGTAGCTTTGGCGATGGCTTGGTTGGCGAGATAAGGGTAGCGGGTAACAAGGGAAGCCGTTTGTTTATCCACGTGGGTAGTAATCGTTGCAATGGAGTCAAGACAATAGTGGTTGAATTGTTGGATGATTCTTTGAGTTATAATTGGATTGGTGGTGGTGTTTCCTGCGGCAATGGCGTCTTCGGCTAATTGTACGGTCACTGACTGGACCCCCGGATCTACCGTGTTGACGCGCCCTCGGTGGATCCAGTAGAAATACTCATCCAACCCACGGTCGGAGTCAACGTCGCCAAGGACTGCCGGAACCTCGCCCCAATCACTAGCCATGTGGATCCATTGGTGTTGGGCGTCATCGGAGTCCAGCCACTCAATTATCATTTGGACGAATACCCAGAGATCATTGATATAGTCGGAAAGAAACCGGAACTGGCCCACGACGCCCACCGCGCCGTCAGCGGTACCCACTTCGAAATGGGGCACGGCCACCGCCCACGGGTACTGGTCCCAACTTTGGTTAAACTGTAATAGCGAGGTAAGCGTGTGTTGTGGGTGGTCGCTGAGGATGAGTGTCGTCACTGTCACCTCTGAAGGGTCGTTGGCGCCATTGGTCGGATCTCGCAATGTTGGCGGCGGCGGCGGCGCCATTTGATATATATATATATATCGCGAGGCTAGAGGGTTTCCCAACCGTTCGCCGGCCTCTAAACGCGCGATGCGCTTCCCCGCGTGTCTCTGTGCCGGAGTGACAGCCAGGTCAGGGGCTGAAATATGATAGCTATGACCGCAAATACAATGAAATGAGAATAATCAGCAAACGAGATGGTTTCACTTTGATGGTAGAGTTGGTTTTCTGGTCATTTCTGGTCATAGCAGTGTCGTAAATTCCTGTCGTCGTCACCACCAACTAACGGTTGGGCGCACCCGCGCGCACTACCCAACGACCGGGCGCATAGGTGCGAATGACATCCCCGAAAGGCATCTGTCCCCGGCGGCAAAAAGACGTCAAAAAGAGACTATTGACTATGGTAAATGGCCTAAATTATCATAGCTTCCATTTACTTTGATATCAGTTACGGTAGTATTCAATTTTAGGCCTAAATTCGTCTGTTTTCTTGCCAGGGTGGGAAAGCCCAACAAGGTGGGTAGCCGGCATGTGAACCCCGGACTCACGCCCCACCTCCGAAACAAAAGAACAATGGGGGATAATAAGCCCCAACAGTGACAGCCGTTGCTCTCTCCTAGGGGGAGGGGCGGCGACCCAATAATTTTCAAGGGGGATGACATCATCGAAAGACTCCTTCAACAGTGGGACTCCTTTGCAGCACGGCTGAAAAACGCAGCCACAAACGCAGGGTCTAGAAAGAAGAAGCCATTGAGTAAAAGTTGAAGAGATAGGTTCGTTTTGGTACTGAAATGTGAATTTAACGGAGTTGGTGGGGAGTTGTTTGCTCTCATAAATGGACAAGTCATCCAAAGCGAAAAGCAAAGGTGGAGCCGTTTGTGGTGCTAAGTACAAAAGTATTTTGTGGAAACCCCTGATTTTAGTCATGAAAGGGGACATCATTGATCAAGAAACCTGAAAAATGTGCCATTATATTCTTAGATGAGATTACATCGTTGGTCAAGCTAACGTCCCTTAAGTTTTACATTTGCTAGAACCAAACATCTGAAGCAATTGACCTTATTGATTTCAATAAAATGATATGTCAAAACACTTGAGTTCTACTTGACATTGGCATATTTTTGTGCTTTAGTCAATGCGTCCAGTTAGACTCCGTTTATTGGAGAATTCTAATCAAATGTGGCACCAATTGTTACTTTATAAAAATTGACCATTATTCTTAGATCTAATCCTTTAGCAATTACAGGATTTACTTTGCATCACTTGCGATAACCGTCAGGTGCTGTCTCCAACCAGCCTTGCTCACTGACTTATTGACCGATCGAGCAGGGCTTGATAGTTACAATCCGTTCATTAACCTATTTTGTCATTACAACTTGGTGGCCTTGTCGAGGCGTTCCACCACAAGCGCCGAGGCACCGCCACCGCCGTTGCAGATACCGACACAGCCGATCTTGCCGTTTTCCTGGGCCAACACCGACAACAACGTCACCACGATTCTGGCACCGGAACAGCCCAAGGGGTGGCCCAAAGCCACGGCACCGCCGTAGACGTTAACCTTTTCTTGAGGGATGTTCAACAATTGGCAGTTGGCCAAACCAACAACGGAGAAAGCTTCGTTGAATTCAAAGAAGTCGACTTGGTCTTGCGACACTTTAGCGTGCTTAAGCGCCTTGGGCACGGCGAGCGAGGGGGCGATGGTGAAGTCAATAGGATCGCGAGCGGCTTCACCCCACCCGGCGATACGGGCGATGGGGGTCAAGCCCAATTCGTGCAATTTAGCCTCGGAGACAAGCACCAAGGCGGCGCCACCGTCGTTCAATTTGGAGGCGTTAGGGGCAGTGACGGTCCCGTTTTCCTTCTGGAACACCGCCCGCGCCGAGCGCACGCGCTTCTCGTCAAAGTTGGCCACTTCTTCGTCTTGCAGCACCACGGTGTCGGGCTTGCCTCGCTTGCCCGGGATGGTGACGGGGGCGATTTCGGCGTCAAACTTACCCGCCAGCTGCGCCTTTTGCGCCTTCTGGTACGAGGCGATGGCGAACGCGTCCTGGTCGTCGCGCGACAAGTTGTGGTCGGCGGCGCACTTTTCCGCACACACCCCCATCAACTTCTGGTCGTAGACGTCCAACAAGCCGTCCTTTTGGATGCCATCGACCAACGCGGCGTCGCCGTAACGGGCGCCACCGCGGGCCAGGGGCACGTAGTAAGGGCAGTTCAGCATCAGCTCGGCGCCACCAACAACGACAATGTCATTAGTGCCCGTCAAAATCAGCTGGGCGCCGATGATGATCGCCTTGGTACCGGAAGCGCACACTTTGTTCACCGCCAGCGCCACCACCAGCTTCAGCAACCCCGCCTTCAACGCCACCTGGCGCGCCGGCGCCTGGCCGACGTTAGCCTGCAACACGCCGCCAAACACGATTTCGTCGACGGATTCGGGGTTGATTTGCGGCACTTTGGCGAGGGCGGCCTTGACGGCGTGGGCGCCGAGGTCGACGTAGGTCTGCGACGCCAACGCGCCTTGGAAGGAGCCAATCGGGGTTCTCGCGGCGGAGACAATGTACACCAGTTGCGCCATCGTGGAGTCGGGTTGCGGGTTGGACATTTCGATCAGGGGGAAGGTGGCGGCTTTTTTATACGATCGCGTTGGTATGGGAGCGGGTGGTGGCGGAGTGCATATAAGAACTTGGAAAAAAGTGCGACGCCCGCGGGTACGACGAGGTGGGGCTAAGTGGAGACAGCCAACAGAGGCAGGGCAAAAGGGGACTAGCCCTGACCAAACGGAAAGATGAGATGAGAATTGTGTTACAATGTGGTGCTAGTTTCATTTGGTCAATTAATTTAGTTCCATTTCTGTTTGGTTTCTCAATTTTTCACTGGCTATGGTCTCCACTTCGAGAGATGATTTCCTCGGAGCTAAACGAGGGGACGCGACCCACACGTCAGCCCCCCCGAATAACCGAAGCCTGTCCCGAGGCCCCACGCCCAACCGATTCACTGCATCCCCCCTATACGACGGCGACACCACGACATGACCGAATAGTATTTTGTCAGCTTGGTCTAGGGGGTGGACCCTGGGCTCGTATAGACGCTCTCGGCTAGCACTGGCGAATCCCCAACAATGGTCCCCACGACGAGTACCCCTACTTCCAATGTGATACATCACCAAACCAACTCTAAGTGAAACCAGTTTGAATTGGTCATAGAGTATCTCTATGTTCAGATCAAACTCCCAGATAAAATCACGATTTGAATGAGAGTATCGTTCTCTCACATTGGAATTCGTGGCTCATAGAAATCAGATATTGCTAGTGCTCAGTTTGATTCAGGATGATTCTGAAACAAAGATCTGATACCAGCTTCAATAGATAATTCATCGTGTTCAGATCAGTTTCTCTGATCATAAGTGAATGATATCGAATTGAGAATATTGATCACGTTCAACGTAATTCAAGGTGGAAAGTAAAAGAAAAACTCAAGCTAAAGTCTAATAGAAGAGTAGTTAGTCGGTCTGGTCACTCATCATTAATTACCGTATTCAGGTTGCTGTTGGTGCGCACGGCTTACTTCTCATATGCTACGACCCTTGCTCCATGGCGGGAGAGCGATACCACCATCAAAATGGATAATCTCGTCAACTACCAGTCATGGGCTCAGACCTTTAGGGGTGGTTCTGACTGTATCAATGCGTGGCTTGTTCCAGAAGCTGAAATCGCCACCAAAGGCTAATGCTACTATCCCCACTACCAACACCCCGATCACGCCTCCAGCGACTCCCATTACCAATCCATCGACTCCCACCACTCATGCCATCCCCCACACCACTAAGGCGCCCATTGCTGTTCCTCAAACACCCTCAAAAACCGAAACCACCGACCCTTCCCAAATCGACGAAGCTAAGCTTAAAAACCACCCCATCCTCAAACGAGTGCCCCGCTTCCTCCAGAAATACTGTATTCGCTTCATCGATGCTCCCTTTTCCCATGTCACCGCCTTCCTTATCCTTCATGAGCTTACTGCCATTGTTCCCTTAGTAGGAATTTGGTGGGTATTGCACAAATATAACTTCAGTATCCCGCTTGATTTGCCGCTGTGGGCGATCGATAAAGGCACCAAGATCATCGATAAGCTGTTGGAAAGCGTCGACTTTAGTAAGTTCCTGTTAAACGATAAATGGCGGATCATTTCTGAAGGGGCCTACGCTTACGTTATCGTCAAATTCCTTCTCCCCGTGCGGGTGTTCATCTCGTTAGCCCTCATGCCCTGGTTTGCTAAGACGTTTGTGGTACCGTTTACTTCGTTATTCTCCAGAAAGAAGAAGTCAGCGACGTCTAAATCTACCACTACCACTCCCGAAGTGAAACCTAAACCCGTCACTAAACCAAGACTCTAAACAAAGTATATACAACGTAAAGCTTAGACCGTTTAGATAAATAACTTAGATAAACGATGTTAGACAGTATGGCCACCAACAGCTTTGTACTGCCTCCTTCTCAGCCGTCTCCTCTGAGAGTGCGATGAAGTGACGTCAGCGGCCATCAACAAAATCTGTAGTAGTCTTTGTGGCGACTTCAAACATTAGCCAGCCCCAGCGTTGACAACTGACATTTTTCACACAAACTAATATTTCATTTTCATTTTTCTCCATACGATACCTTCATCCTACTTTGTATTTAAATTGTTTTAATACTACTTCATTCACAGTCTTTTTTAGGACAATTGTAATTTCACCTGTCGAGACTGTATAGTCCCGGTTATCCAGATGTTTTTCATCCACTAAAAACCGCAGAGTCAACTACTCTCGTGAAAACTTACTGTTATCGTTTTGTGTAGACATTACTAAAGAGGTATCCCCCACTCAAGTAATGACAGCTGTCGCTTCCGTTGTGGCGAATGCTAGCGAATGCTAAGTCCCCGATGACGTCAAAAACACATACGCCATTCTCCAGTTGCAGGATCATCGTGCTTCTGTAGTTCTTCGGGGAATAACTTACGTTTGGTTCGGCCACGTGAGGTCATCGCTGGCGGCGGAAGCCACGGCTGGACATGGGCCCATCGTCAGCAACTCCGGCAACGCTTTTCCGAAGATTATTCGCTCGACAATCATCCCTTGGGAATACAATAGCCCGCCTACTACCGAACAATCACCCCAATGCACTCGTCACCCTACTTCAAATTCCACAATTTGACAACAAAGAGAACTCATTATTTTACAATGAAAAAATTCGGTGCAAAAGCTGGCGACGCTGGCTGACGTTTGCGTGTTTAGGTGTAAGGCCTCGACNAGGGGGGGTTTTTTTTTTTTTTTTTTTTTTTTTTTTTCTACCGCGTTAAAGTAGACGCCAAATAGACAATGTTGCTCGGCAATTAATAATAGTGATGTGTCACATTGCGAAGGGAGGCAACAAATAACTTAAACTGTTTAGCTCTAGAACCGAGTCTAGCCTTCACTCTTTGTTTCTGTTTGTTTACTGGCGGTTGCTGGTTTGCTGTGGTCCGAGATCAGACGCTTTGTTTCCCTTAGTCGTTTCTTTGATAACGATGTCGATGCACGATGACGTGACCCACAGGCGTCCCGCTTTTGTGTTCTGGTGGGGCATACGAGTGTGGGGATCACCCATCACTCGGCTTCTACGGTCTTGTAAACAGAATGTATTTTACAACCACGTCCTATAGAGCTAGCGTCGCTGGGGCGTGGGCCACAGGAAAGGGTTTTGCCCCAGGCTCGCCGGGGCAACAACATGCAATGCCATTAATCATCAATACGTCTAGTCTAGCGTCACCGCGAGCTGGTCTTTCGTCCACGGCACAAAGTCGTCGAGCGAGCGCACGGCGCGGGCCAACTGCAACTGGTCCATAGCCCACTCGGGGACGAGCCTCGAGTTTACTTGGGGGAGCACCAGCAACTCGCGGTCGTCAAAGTCGAATAACTGGGGCAACTCCTTGAGGTCGGGCTGGGCGGCGTACGTCTGGTACAGCGCCAGGCTCAGGTGGCTCTGCTGGGCAAAGATCTTGCGGTAGTTGGGCAACTTGGTGTTGGGGTTGCGCAACTCGTCAAAGTAAGGGTCGACCATCGCCTCGATGCACAGCACCCGTTCGATGGGGGAGTATTGCAACATTCTCAGCAAGAAGCTGAGGGTGTCGGGACTTGCTTTTTTGAAGATCTTCAGCATCGGCGTCGGCTTCACTTGGGGGAACTTGTTGTCCAGGTACCCCAGGTTCATGTGTTTAATCTGCTCCTTCAGCGGCAGCCCCAAAATGCGCATGATTTCCACCAATTGGTCGATCAGCAGCTCACCGGGGAATAGCGGTTGGCCAAGCAAGAGCTCGGCCATGACGCACCCGGCCGACCACACGTCGATCTTGGTGGTGTAGTTGGTGGCGCCAAAGATGAGCTCGGGGGCGCGGTAGTAGCGCAGACAGATGTAGGCGACGTTGGGCTCCAACGGGTTGAGGATCTTCGCCGAGCCAAAATCGCACAATTTAAGTTCGCCCGTGTCGGGGTTGATCAACAAGTTCTGCGGCTTAATATCTCGGTGGCAGATCCCTTGCGAGTGGATGTAGTTAAGAGCCCGGAGCATCTGGTAGGTGTACAACTTGATCTCCAACGGGGGCATGTAAAGGCGTTTCAGCACGTAGTAGTGGCTGGCTTTGTACAACGTTTCGGGGACGAACTCCAAGATCAAGTTGAGAAACACCTCGTTCTTCTCGTTTTGCGTGTAGAAATAGTACTTCAAGTCGGTGATGTTGCGGTGGTGGACGAGCTTCATGATCTGGAGCTCGCGGTTCTTGTAGCGCTTGTCCTGGAGGACGCGCTTCATGGCACACACCTGGTTCAGAGGCATGATCTGCGTCTGGAAGACGACGCCAAACAGGCCGTGGCCCACCATCTGCAGCTTGGTGTACTGGATGTGTTCGGTGGCGCCGGTGTGGCCGTTGGTCACCTGCTCGCTCACGACTTCTGGTTTGAACATGTTAGTATTGAAACAGCACGCGAGAATCAACCGCGGCCAGTCCACTCAGCTAGCGATAAGCACAAACGGGGGGGGGCAGAGGGCGGGTGTCCGGCAACGGAGGGGAATAAGTGGGCGACAATTTCGGGGTCGCATTTTTCTTATATACGGTCGCGCGCGGGGTCCGGCGGTCATGTACAAAAGCAAGCCGTAGAGCGAGGGCGCCCGAGCGCCACCTGCCAGCTAGTATTAGATGAGTCACCCCACTTGGTGGACGTAGTTGCCACTGTCACTGACGTGTTTCATGTAGTCAGTGGTTATTATAGTGGAGGGCAGGCTCAGCCGGGCGGTACCGTCGACCCATTCGGAGCCGTGCTATACGTCACCAGTGATTGGGTGAGATTAATACGCTGGGGGGGGGGGGG